GCTAAAGACATATGTCATGAAAATAAAATTGTGTAGAGACCATAGAGCAATTTCTAATTTGATGAGGGGCCAAATTAGAAATATTAAAACTTAAGTAATTAACCTAATTCTGGTTATCTAAAGGGTCATGGTCCCCTTCTGGGAGCACACACGTAAGCATCAGTCTCGTTCCTTTCTTTATATCCCCATCAAGAGAGAAAATCAAGAGGGAAATATAGGTGCTCTTCAGGTGGAAGACCATAAGATCAATATAGTGCTCTACAAAGACATCATCATTATGGCTAATTCAGGTACGCTTTCGCATTCAGTTTACAGCATGTTTATCAATATGGGATTACGTTTATGTTTGATCGTTAAAATTAAAATCAGGATTATTATTATTATTATTATTATTATTATTATTATTATTGTTGTTGTTTTTCCAATATGAAGAACCAAATATAAGGGAATGCTTGAAGAACCAAATATAATGGAATGCTTGAAGAACCAAATATAAAGAAGTTTGTTCACAAATAAGAAAGTTTCTTTTTTTGCAGTTTAAATTTTATACATGGTTCACAAATAGTTAAGTACGTATGTGTTATCTTTATTAGTACATGAGATTTTGTTAGTATGTAGGAATTATATTTTTTATTTTCTAATTCATCAGTTATAAAGTTAAATTAAATCTATATTTAATTTTTTTATTTTATAAAAAGATAACATAATCAAGTTTTATAAGATAACAATTATTGTATTAATATTAGATAGATATGAAGGAATATGATATAAAAAATGAGGTATATAAGAGAAATCTCATGGACTATGAATATAATACTTATAATATTTATATAATCTTTTCAATCATAAGATAGTGTAACGATTTCTTACCATTTTTTAAATTTAATAATAAATAAAATAATTTTATATTATCAACTAATGAAATTATCATTAATATAATTTTTAAGTTGATTATACGAAAAAAAGCAATTAACTCAGATGGATAACGTTAGTTTATGTGTACAGTAAATTTAGTCTTCTACTAAGTGGATGAAACATGTTTTTTTTTTTTTTCACATAATATTTTGAATGGTTTCTTTAAGTTAAAAATACTATAATTTAGTCATTAAAATTTAATAAAAACGTGTTTTCGTTTGTGATGTATATAGGAATGCCGGGAATGAAACTAACTAAAAATTAATTAAAATATATAAAAAAAAAACTAAAATAAAAAAAGAATTATTTTTTATTATAGTTTTGTTTTGAATTTCAATGGCTCTTATAAAAAAAATCAAATTATATATTATTTTAACTTTGTATATAGTCTTATATATCACTTTATCTTAGCCGCAATTTAATTTTGAGAATGAACAAAAAAATATAAGGTTTTGGAAATTTACTTAGTTATAATACATTATAAGTTTATAATATTAGTAGGACATGAATAATTTTATCATTATTTGCCATAATAAAATGAGATGTTGTTATTATTAAAAACTCATTAAAAGCTTGCAAATGGCCTTTATTAGTATTATTTCTCAGCCAAAATAAGATCACCTTTGTAAATTTCTTTTTAAATTTTCTAATGGCCAACTATCACCAATGCATAAGTGCTATTTTGTGTAGAAAATTATGGCATATTTAATATATAATTAGTTTAATCTCTAATAAATTATTTCAAATTTTGAAATTTGTATGTGAATGTTTTTTAAATGGGATGTTTAAGTTTTATAAATAATAATAAAATGTGTTTATAGTTTCTAAATAGAACAATCCAAATGAAATATCTCAGTATCTATGAATTTTAGTTTTATCTTTTATTTTTAAAATTTCATTTTGATGCTTTATCTCTTAAATTTGGGTTATTTTTTTTTTAATAACTATTGTTTCCTATATATTAGAATAGGATGTTGAACACATTTTTTTCTTATTTACGATTTTTGAAACTTATTTTATTAGATTTATTTAAGGATGACAATGAGCGCTAGGAATTTCACCACGTAAAATAAAATAAAATAAAATCGGGATAAACATCCAATTATTCAACATTCTTCCTATAATACTTTTAAATTTTTATATTATTATTTATTTATTTATTAATTTTGTCCTTTTTTTTTCATCAATAATAATAAAAAATATTATTTTAAAATGTTAATTATTATTTATTTATTTCTCTTTCTATATTTTTCATAAATAATAATAAAATTATTATTTTAAGGACATCAATTAAATATTTGTAAAATGTTGGTTGTCAATTTTTTTTTCAAAAAAACTTAATTGGTATCAATTCATAGATATATATATATATATATATATATATATATATATATATATATATAACCGTGATTTCTTTTTTATTTTGATAAAATAAAAAAGTCCAAAAAATAAATTTAAATACAAAATATTTAATTTAATTCTGACAGTATAAGTTTAAATGAAATTTTTTTCTTTGATCACTTTTAATTTTGGAAAACTTAAAAATAAAAATAATTAAAATATCATACTAATACAATTTTTAATGATTAAATTAATTATACAAATATTTAAGTAATTTTGTTTGCGTTTAGTTTTAATTAATTTATAAGTGATACCTAAATAAACATTTATTAGTATAATGATGAAAAAAATTATATTCAGATATTTTGATATCCGAAATTTACTTATATAAAAATTATAAACCAAAACATGTGTAAAATGCATAAAAATGTTTTATTTTTTAACTGTACAGAGTCCCAAAACAAATACAAAATTAAAAATTCAATGTCATATTTTCTTGGTTTGTTCACAGTACTTAGTTTTCACTTGAATTCCACGGAATAGATATGTTTCAACATATAACATATAAAAAATATATATTTAGAAATTATCAATATATAATTTTTGAATTAATTTATTTTTATATAATCATTAATATTTATAATTTATTTATTTGTTATCAATCACGCATTAATATGAAAATTATAAACTAAATATACATAAATACAAGTTTCTTTAAAATAATTATAGACGAAAAACATCTGCATTTCTTATTTATTTTGACAATTTTCAATAAATTTTTTAAAATATAATTATTTTTGAGACACGCTAAATTTAAATGTATAATAAAAAACTCTAGAGTAAATATTTGTCCTCCAAATTTAATGTTACTCTTGTAAATATATATTAAATAAATAAATAAAATAAAAAACATAAACAAGATTAAACCAAAATTGATAACTAATTAATATTTGAAAATGGAAATATGATATTGAAAATTTTAAATTAATATTTATTATTATAGACAATGAAAATACAAAAATTTTAATTTTAAATTAAACACATTTTTAAATTACTTTTAATTTTTCAAATCTATTGGCTTTCTTTCAAAAATAACTATTTTATATGTTACAACATAGAACTATATTAGGACATTTAATATTTTTCTTATTTTTATAACTATTTGTAAACTTTTTAAATTAATTTCTTATGGTATATAATTTTTTATTTTCTATAATTCTCGTCTCTTTCTTTTCAAAGACACAAACAATTTTACTTGATAGAAAGAGAGGAGGATGAAAGAAAAGTAATTAGTGTAGAAATAAGAGTTTGATAGATAGATCACACATAATCTTGATTTTTGATTTTCATTAGATACAATAGAATAAATAGAAGGAAATAGACGATGAGTTAGTGATTAGTACAAGACCAAATTGCACTCCTTTAGACATTGAAGACATGTGACTTTCACAACAAAAATATGGGTTTTAAGAAAACACCTATATAATCCAACATGAATTGTTTATAAGTGATTATGGTACCACAAAATAAAGATTTGATCATACAACTCCATTTACACGTAAAATTTTTACATAATCGGTTTTATATGACCTATAATCGAATATCAAATAACTATAATCAATTATACATAAATATAAACCCACTGTTATGAAAAAAAAAAAAGAGGATATTATTGTGATGCATCCCAAGTTCCCACTTCTACTTTGTTCTTCTTTAAACGTTTTCCTCTTTCATTTTTTCCGTTTTATTTCACTTCACTTCTAACTATCTTTTATGCCCTCCATGTCTTTGACAGCATCCAAAAAAGCAAAAAAGAATGCTTAGGAATGTGAAAAGGAAAAATTACTTGACGCATTTAAGTGGCGTGAGTGTTAAGAAAGGGGAGAATATGAGGTGGAAATCTCATCTATGTGTATGTCAGTATTTGGATAAGAGTAGAATCTAAAAACAATGATTCCGCTGGGCATCGTTTCTCCAACGTAGCTTTGCCTAATATTAAAGATGTCTTGGTTAAAAGTTAAAATTGAGTCAATGAAAACAGTTTAAGTCTTACATATCTAAAATTTTATTGTAAAAATATATTTTAAAAAGTAGCCAAATATATCACAAAACTAAATTTAAAGTGTCCAAAACCTAAAACCAAACATGGCTTAAGAGTCAATTCTCACTCAGAACCACGATACCCATCCTCCCTCTTCCACTGTCATCTCCATTTTCCACACCACCTTACTCACCATCACCAAGCTTAATTCATTAATGTAGTATTTAATTTATTTATAAAGAACTATCGTTTTGAATCTATAATAAAAAAATAAAAAACAAGTTAAGTTCTATATAAAAGGACTGGTATGAACCAGAAGAAGTAGTAACTCTTACCTATAAACATTAAAATAAGAAGTCAGTGATATCAAAGTGAATCGCACATCAGTAAAATTAACCATCTTTATCTAAGCAAATGATCCTAGGATAACCAAATTAAAAAGTCAAGACAACTGAACTGTATATGAACCTTCACCATTTTCAAGTATCAGAATCCAGTTGATGCCTCTGATTAATGTCAACAACCTCAGAAGAGGCTGTGGGTGAGGGCCCTGTTATCGGTTGCCTAGCTTGGAACTTATCGATCCATTCTTTGATTCCATGTACATAATAAACAAGGGATTAAAACACTAAATACTGTGCATGGCGAGCATAAATTAGAGGATGACATTGTGTAAAGAATTGGGGTGCACCGGCACACGTAGTTAACCAAGATCAATATCAAGCCGCTCTGGCTTTCCTCTTTCAGCCTGGTTGGCACCAAGCTCTACGCCTAGTTGTCCTTTGTCCCCAGCCCCAAAGCCATACAGCTTCCCTGATTCAGTTAAGGCAAAGGTATGAGCGTTCCAATATATGGAATTGGTTAGACTAATCTGCACCACTCGTTCATTTATCTCTTTCATTGAAGTCACAAGCTTTGGACTTAACACATTTACATGCATGTCTCCCTGCACAAGTACAACATACGATTAAATTTAAATACAGTGCACTATAGTCATGAATTCACTTTAGACTTTGCACTTTGAAACAGTGCATATGAATTCATTAGTGTCATGCTGGCCTATCATTCAGATTGAGAATATAAACTCGTGCATATGGCATAATAATACGATCAGGTCTTAACAAAGGAAAGCTTCAACTAGAAGCTCCATTCTGCGACTGAAAGTTCCAATTATTGCAAAGCAGAGACAACAAGCCAGTTCATCATATCATGATTGCACAAAAATCATAGGCGAATTCCTTTCAACCATGTTAAGGTTCCAACATAAAACCAATTGACAATATGTGGAGTAGCCTAACATGTATTTAAATCATACCAAATAATATGAGGTAGGCGATGTAGGACTTTCAACACACCCCCTCTAACGAAGTCTGCCGGACCAGGCAAAGGGTACTTTTGACCCAACTAAAGGGCAACTTTTGACCCATAACAATAACCGGAAAGATGTTAGGCTTTGGCTCTGATACCATGTTAAGGTTCCAACATAAAACCAATTGACAATATGTGAAGTAGCCTAACATGTATTTAAATCATACCAAATAATATGAGGTAGGCGATGTATGACTTTCAACAAACCAAGCCAACCACAATAAATAAATCAAACAGAGTGAAAGGCATAAGAAACCAGACCTGCTCATCGTTCTCGGGGTTATGGCCAAGACTAGCAGATTCTCCGCAACCAAATGAATACACGTCACCATTATCAGCCACTACAAAGGTGGTGTAATCTCCTGTAGCAACATGAACTGCTTTGACATCTCTCAACTCTTCCACCACCTTAGGTATAGATTCACATTCTTCATTACCATGACCCAAGCAGCCATAACGACCCCATCCCCATGTGCAAATACGGCCATCCTGCCCTACGACAGCTGCATGCCATGCACCAGCTGCAACCACCATCGGCTGAAGGTTCAACAGCTGGAATTGTTCAATCAAACGAGGATACTTCTCATCAGTTTTTGAGCCATGTCCAAGCTTCCCACCTAAACCACACCCAACCGAGTACACTGACCTATTAAGATTTCAAGAAGGATTATAAAGTTAGTTATTACAAAATAAAGTGAAATGAAACGTACAAACTAGTTTACGTAAGTTAATATCAGCAACGCTTAAACACTTTCTTAAATCTTGGAAGATGTGGACTTCTGCTGCTGATATATGGAGGCAATTCAAGAAAACAGAATGAAAGATGTGTTGCCAATCAAGGAATAAATCATAACACAGGAAAAATTCCCTTTACACTCTACCCAAATTAGTATGCACAGGAAAAAAATGAAGCGGGCAATAGAGCTTAATTTGCACATATGATATAACTTTCAACTCGATTCCTGTTGAAAAAGAATTCCAACAGTTGAGGAAAGGACATAAAGCTGGTGCTCACATTCCACTGGGTTGACAAGCCAAACAAAGCAGGTAGCAGAATCCAGCAGCTATTTGCACCACTGGTATGTGCTCCAGAGCACCTAATAAAGGACGGGGTTCCACATCATTTGGATCAGTATTGTGACAGAGTTTCCCGTCACTACCCCAAGAAAAAGTATAAACCCTGCCTTCTCTTGACAATACACCAGTAAAAAAGTTTCCAATTGCTGCTTGCACAACAAATATATTTTTCAAAGAATCAACTAACTGTGGAGTTGTAACCATTTTAGATCCTTGAATTCCAATCTCAGCTTCACCGAAAGAGTCCTTCCCAAAGGCATAAACCTGCCCGGAATCACTGATCAACATTGTCCTCCCAGTCGCGGTAGTAGCTTGTATAATTCGGATACCTTGCAAAGCTCTGCACCAATAAAAGTAACTTAACTTCAATTCAACAAGTTCACTTTCTTCATATGTTTGAGGATATGATATGATATAAGAACTGTGGAATGTACTAAATAATGTTCCAACCTGATTGGTCGAGGTTTCCATTCCTCTACAGTGTTGCCATGCCCAAGTTGGCCGGAACTATTGGACCCAAATGAATACACAACCCCTTTTGATGTCACGGCAATGCTATGACCAGGACCTGCTATTGCCTGTGATTTCTCTCTTCTGCAACATGCTTCTCCAGCAAGCAAAAACCTCAGAACCAATTTCCAAGAACCCCCACATCTTTGCTTCATATGTTGCTGTTGTTCGGTTGTCATTGGCTTAAAGATGGCTCTCTTCTGGCACATGTCCAATGCAGCGAGCTCTGACAAGGACAAATCAAAATCTGGCTCAAACTTTGCCGGCTGCTTGAAGAACGAGCATGTTGCCTTTAAAACACCACATCAGATATGAAACCAGCAATGCAAGAATTAGTACTTTCAATTAACAAGCCAAAATCCGAAATGCACACAAGCAGATCACTTGCCTCAAGTTTAGCAAGGTCTTGAGGATACAAGTTACATGATGAAAGGACATGAAGTACAACGGAGGGATTAGCAGACAAGGGAAACTCTCCTGGACTGGAATCCCCAAAGCAATGGCGATGCTGACGTTGAAATGTAGGTAACTGTGTGGCAACAATGGTAGTAATTGGCTGATCAGGGATGTTATGGTATTGGATAGTTGGGGTTCCACTGGTAGTGGCATCCATGGGCACTGCCAACCTTATACAGTGCCCAAACACGGCAGAAGAGAGGATCTAACACTTCTGGGGATTATAAAAAATATGCGCAAATGTATTACTACGTTAATTAATTCTGTTCCTCAGTTTATAACATTTGAAACTCTACACATTGTTCTAACTTACAACAAACATGTACCTCAGGAATATTTTTGACTAGCAAATCTCAGGTCTCAAACCTACAAAGAAAAAACATACTTGTAAAAGTGACACAAAGTTCTTTTTTTTTTTTTTTTTAAATACAGCTGAAATACATGATTATCTGTCTCCATTTACAATCGCACTATTACATAAAAAGTGGAAGACACAAGCAAACATTAAGTCATGAAACTGAGGATGATCAGGAAGACATATAGATTTTACTTTTCACAGATACCTGACTAAAAAAATCAAGAGCGGTCATTTAATTGATCAAGGTGAACCCCAAATGACCAGAATTGAGGATGAAAATAAGGTGAAGGAATCCAAAGAAATTTTTTTGAGAAGTATACTATTCCCAGATGATGGGATATTCTACCATCACAAAAGAAAACAAAAAATACAAAAAAGCAAAGAATTATCGGATGAAAGTTGCGATAATCGCAAGTCATCAAAGCTTGATCATCCCAATAAAAAAGAATCAAATTTTAAAATATCCTTTTCCAAGCAGAAAGCAAAATTCCTTTTTTCCTGACTTTCCCAGATCAGGGAAGCACAAGTAACCCAATGAACAAGTACACTTGTAGGATACGCAAACATAAAAAGAGGAAAGTAAATAATTAAAAAGAAAAAAGAATCAAGGGAAGCGGAAAATAAAACATGGTAAACAAGTTTTAGGTGAATGGAATTCATTATGATCGTTATAGATCGAAGCAGAGGCACGTGGATACGGTGATTACTTATGAGAGGGGTCAACAACAATTCCTCAAATTGAGTGTACACCATCGGTAGAGAATTGTACAGAGGGTTGTCACGTTATTTTGACGAAACAAAGAACAGGTGGGTATCTGATCAAAAGACGTAGAGGTGAAAATCAGACTGAGAGAAAAAGAGATACTTAAAGTTTTGTATGGTTTATGAGAGTGAGTGGATAATCAATAATTTTCTGGTTCTTGAAACGGGAGGTCTCTCTTTCTTATGTCCAGCCCTATTATATGCTTTCTGTTTATTTATTTGTTTACTTCTGAAGAAGAAGCGAGGATGATGATGATGACGATGAGGTGTCGTTACACGCTACCGTTACGTAGCAGCAATTTCTTTTTTCTTAATTGATACACATATATTTCAAAGAGATTATTTATAAATAGTATTACAATAATCTAGGATAATATAATACCAATTTTTGAAAAGATTAAAATGATTTATTTTGCACATTATTGAAAATTAAATATGTAATAAATAAATATTTTAAAAAATATAAACTGAATATACTAATTAGTTACAATTCATTAAAATATTTAGAGATACATATGACAAACATATTTAAATTTTAAAGATAATATGTATCTAGAATTGTTTTTTTTATATTCAATTAAAATGTACCAAACTTTCAATATATGTATTATCTGTATATTAAGAAAATGGTGTTAGAAACAAAATAGAAGAGGTTTTTAAGGTTTCAAAACAAGTCCAGTTTTATGGTGATAACTATAAATTTTATTTTATTTTATTTTTATATATATGATTAATAAAAAGGATTGGTTTATGCAATATTTTTTATTATAATTTTTATTTTATCTTTAATAGAATATAATTATTATTTGTCTGTAATTTTTCCTGGTTAAACGGAATCACGGCTTAAAAATTACGGATAAACTCACAATTTTAGTCTTTGTATTTTTTTTTTATATTTGATTTGTTAAATTTAAAAATAAAAAGTAATAATTATATATATAATTTCTTTTTAAAAGAGCGGTTAATCTTAATTTACATCATTATTTAATATTTAATTTTCAAATTTTAATAATATGGAAAAATATCTTTAGTATGAAAAAATGTATTTATAGCCAATCTATTCATATAAAATAAGATTCTTGAAATCTGTACAAATTTAAATTAACTAAAACCACGTTATTTATTATTATATTATTTTTTATTTGTTAAAATTTCATATATTAATTATTATTTTATAATATTATATATCAATTGTTATTTTTTATTTTATTATTATTTTTAATCTTATAAATGATTCAATAAATCTCATCTTATTGTTTACTTTTAAATACATTATTTTTTTCATTAAAAAAAATAATCATCTTTTGCAAGTGAACCTCTTCTCTCTTCAAATAAAGTTAAAGGTGAAGTTGAAATCAAAATTAAACATGATTTTCCAATTTTGTCATCCATCTGAAAGACAATGTGTTTTAAGTTTTGATTTCAGCTTCGAACATGTTAAATAACTTCCTTTTAAGAAAATTAAAAATTTATATCAAATAATTTTTTAATAAAATAATAATATATTTAAAAATAAATAATAAAGTAATATTTACACTTATATATAATATTATAAAATAATATCTTATTCGTAGTCTTATAATAAATAAAAAGTAATAATAATCTTATGATAATAAATAAAATAGATTTAATAAATTTGAATCAAATATATAAAATTTAATTTTTATCATAGATAAACAAAATGTTTTAATAGTTACTATTTCGTTTATATTTTTTTAACTATCAATTCAATACTATATTATATGTATGTTTTTTTTATATATAATCTTATACAATATCTCATACTCTATCTCCCTTAAACCAAAATTTAATTTTATAGAATAATGATAATAAGTCATTTTATATATATTGGATATTTTAAAAAATTATAATACATTATAACATAATTATTAACTATAAATTAGCTAGACATAAAATGCCTTTAGATATTTCAGAAAGGAGAAAAAAAAATAAAAGTTGTATGAATTAGTATTTATATAATTTTTATAATTAGGTGATTTACTTGGATTCAATACCTAGTAAAGGTCTCTTAAAAATAAACCTGAAAATATGATATTTCAGAGTCTTAAATTTAAGCTATCAATCACTGCATAATATATATTTTGTAAGTACACTTAACAATTTTAATTATTTTGACTCCAATATTACCCATAAAATAATTATCCAAGAAATATTGATTACTAAATATAGTATTATCTTTATATTGAAAAAAGTAAAATCTAATATAAATTTATATTTTCAATTAAAAAGGCTAGTCTGACAACTTGGGTCTAGTACACTGTAAGAACATATTTTTAAGTACCAATGAAACTAGACAAGACAAATAAACATGTAGGTGGAAACTTGCAACCAGACCTACTGATATTATTTATAATAGATTATAATCTTATACATAATTGTAAATAATATTATTAATTTATATGATCAATTTATGGATAATATGTTTTAAAATTTTATTTTTTACAATATTATAATAATAATTAATTAAAAATATATATTAAAATTATTAATAATAAATCAATAAATTTATTTTATTTTTCACTTTTTTTAATCTAAAAAACGTTTTACTTTCTTTTTCACACTTTGTCCCCTCAAATTTATTTTTCAATCCAAATAATCCATTAAATTTAAATATTTAATTAATTATCTCAAACCTATTTTACTAATAAATATATATATATATATATATATATATATATATTAAAAAACTCTAATTAACAAGCGATGAATAGAATATGAGGATTCTATTCATCATGTGTTTACAGAAAGAAATATTATTAAATCAAATGTAATTATATATTGGCTCATAAATTTATTAAAATTAAAAATTAATGGGATATGAAAAGTTAGAGGAATTTCAAATTAAAATGATGTAAACTGGTATGCAGTTTTGATCAATCTCCTTGTATGTATGTCAAATTAAAAAGGAATAAAAACTTAAATTATGTCTATTGTAGATATATCTTCTGATATAAACATATGTTAAAACTAAATAAAACAAATTTAAAAAAAAAAATAGTTTAGATTCATAAAAGCAGAATCAACGGAAACAAAACATTAAAATCAAAGAAAAATTTTCCCACCTGATCTGATGGGATAAGAGAAATTAATATTAGGTATAAAGCTAATTTGTTTGTAAAAATTTAAATATAATTTTCAAAATGTACTTTTAGTCTTGTAAAATTAATATGTTTTGATTCAGATTTAAAAAAATATATATTAAAAAATTTAAAATTATCAATTTTATTCTTTATACAAAATCTGTGAAATTTTATTTTAGTATTTTTTATTTTATTTTTTAAAATTTAAACCATTAATTTTGTAGTGGATAATATTTATAAAATATTTCTTACTAATTTTTTGATAATTTATATTAACATTATATTACAACACTAGTATTTATCACTTTAAATGATTATTTAACATTATTTTCATAAATAGTTAATTAGTATGATATAATATTAGAATTAAAATAGTAGTTTTTAATTTTTGAGAGATAAAAATAAATATTTTTTATAAAAATTAAAATCAAAATTCATTCATATTATTTGAAGTAACATATTTAAGAAAATTTTGTTTCTTTATAATATTTACTCATCTTCCAAACATATGATGTCACCAACTGACTTGACAGTTGACACCAAAACCAAATCATACTTGTTAAAGTCCATCAGGATCCAAAGCCAGATATCAGGTAGCAGGTTCAAGGCTTAATAAGCTCAATTATTCAAGAAATGAACTGAGTTTCTTCTATTAACTAAAAAAAAAAATCTAAGATTCGACCTCAATCCTTAATACTTTTGTCTTCTTTAGCATTGAAATGGAGAATTAATTAACAAGTTGACTGAAGAATCAAATGACATATTACTGACACAGCTTGGATCACTTGAATTGCCTTCGTCCTATATACAAACGCGTCATTAATAAAGTGCACGGGCAAAAGCTAAGTCACCCCGTGTATATAGCTTCTACACATTTCACATCAGTCTAAATTCATGTTGAACATATAAAAAATTAGCATTCAGTGACACAATGCCACTACCGTGTGCCCTATAAATGGGTAACACAAATCCTTATGTGTGCCCAATCACCTATACCAGAAAAATCCTGTTCAGAAACCCCTATACCACATAAAATTGCTCTACATCTAAATTTTAATTATCATTATTATCTTCCCAACCCTTGTTATTGTTCCGAAAAACAATACATTATTATTTTTCTCATAATTACATTTCCATCATTTACATTACATGACATTCCGACAAAACTGCAATTTATCCTTCCTTTCAACCCACTATTTAACTCCTTACTTTCTTCCTAAACACGCGCTAAGATACCACTGCCTTGGGACAAATAATCTTCAGCAATGAGCATAAATATCCTTGAAAAAGGAGGAGATAAAATGTAGCTACTCGCAACTATAACTATAACCATAACAATAATTACGAAGAGATAACCAAAGAATGACAGAGTACTTGTGAGAGATCCAAAGCACAACAAGCAATTCAGCACGATACTAAGCTAAGGATAACAGGACAGACAAATGCAATCATGTAATATAGAAGGTTTCAGAGCTTACCTTGATTCTGAGATTTCTCAGCCAAAATCCACAATCAGCAGAACCTTCACTTCAGCCATTGTCCCGAGCACATACGAACTGATTTCGATGATAATTACATTGACAGTGACAGATTACGATGCTGGAGATAGCCAATACTGAAATTGAAGAACAAACGCCACTGTAAATAAACTCAATAGGAAGTAACATAAGATGTGTGGCTTCGCGAAAAGAACAAGGAACAGAGGAAATAAAATAAACCTAATTTGAAGAAAATATCGAAGAGGGTTCAGCAACCTGAGAAGTATCGATGAAGCGAGTGGCAACAAGGACGAGGCAATGAACGAGATTTGTAGCGGAGCAGCTCAACGGTAGCGCGAAGATTCCAGCAACCTGATCCAACGTCAAGAGACGAAGATGCGAAAGCAACCTCCATCTTCCTCTTTTCTTTCAGGTGCAAGGAGGAGATGGAAACGAGAAAGAGTGTAGAGAATTTTGGGATTAACGGGAGAGTGAAAGAGGGAAAAGACCTAGCGACGGAAATTTTGAAAATTTTGGTTAAAATAATTTCAAAGCAAACAAAGAAAAAGAAAAAGAAAATAATAACAAAGTAAGTTAGCAATGTGTCCAACATGTAATACTCAGTACACATTGCTTTCTTTCACAGAATAAGAGGGTTTGGAATTATGTGAAGTGTACCTAAATTCATGTATTTAGACACTACCACATTCCATGTACATTAGTTGCATTTTATTTTATTTTTACACAAATAACCAATCTCATAAATTTTGTACCCTAATTAATACTCTTATCTTATTTCTCTCAGAGTATAATATAGGTGCAAAAACGTCAATTTAACAAAAATTTTAATTGTCAACCATGGAAAATTAGAAGAAGAAGAATAAGGAGAATAAAGTTACTGTGGAAATAGAGTGCATGAATGAGATGGGTCATTTTCTAACGTTTAAAGATTTAAATTAATAACATATATCATCATTTTCACTCATAAATAATAGATAATCAACCATAAAATAGATAATACAAAAATCCAACCATTGTTTTTAATAAAAAAAAATTAAAAAATCTAACGGTTACTGATCCCTCTTCCATGGTGGGAGACTTGTGGTAATAATACATCACCCTAGCACGCATGAAAGTTGAAATAAAAACATTACCTTTTTTTTTTAATTGAACGACGTGTCGTTGCAGCATCATAAAACGCGTGTTTGGGACAAGCAGGTTCCTCCTACAAAGACAATAAAATATTGGATTTGAGACACTTCAGCAGCGCAAGTGATAAGAATAGGAAGAATATGAGGAGGAAATCTGATCTAAGCCTCTATTCGGATAAGAGAAGAATCTAAAAACCACAACCCCATTGGACCTCGTTTCTCCAACGTGGCTTTTGCCAAACGCTAAATTGCCACTTCTCACTCGAAACCACGTTCCCAATCTTCCCTCTCCCACTCCCACTACCGCTCCCGCCACCGTTCGCAGCTCACTCACCCACTCAACAATGGCAGCAACAATATCAGCAATGGCCATGATCAACACCAAATGCATCAACCCCACGTCACCAAAATTCCCCACCAAACTCACACCCTCAAAACCTTCTCTCCTTTCTCTCCCGAAGGGCCTCATCGCCTCACCCGAAAGCACCAACCTTTGCATTCCCACAGCCGTCGCCGGAGCCGTATTCACGGCCCTCGGAACCTGCGACGCCGCATTCGCCGCTCAGCAGATAGCGGAGATAGCGGAAGGCGACAACCGCGGGCTGGCGCTGCTGCTGCCCATAATCCCAGCCATAGGGTGGGTGCTGTTCAACATTTTCCAGCCGGCGCTCAACCAACTCAACCGCATGCGCAGCACCAAAGGGCTCATCATCGGGTTGGGTCTCGGCGGCTTAGCCGGACTCGTGGCGGCGCCGCCGCATGCCGCCGCCGCTGAAGTCGCGGCGATCGCCGAAGCCGCGAGTGACAACAGGGGACAGCTTCTGCTGTTTGTGGTGACACCGGCTATTGCGTGGGTGCTGTTCAACATCTTGCAGCCAGCTCTGAACCAGATCAACAGGATGAGATCCCAGTGATGATGAAATAGGGAGAGGCTTAAGTTCTGTGGGATATCACCATACGATAATTCTCTTGTAACTTGTATCTATCTAATGCTATATTATATCAGCTTCTCTTTTGTTTTGTCTCTAATTTTTATTTTTATTTTCTTACTTCCTTCGTTGATTCCATCCCAATTTCTTTTTGTTGCAACTGTTATGGCACCTTCCTTTTGCCGATCATAGATCTGATTGAGTTCGAGTTTGTTCTTCCTTCTGTTGTCACAAGATAACTACCGTTGAATTTACATGGTGCCTACAGTTTCGAGGAGTTGATGTAGTTGTCAGAAAAAGAATGTTTTTGTGTCACTAATATATTCTTACTTGGTTTATAATTTTTAGTTAGTTTAATTCTATTCAGCTAAAGATCATAATTTATATTAGATAATAATTAAGAACAAAATATAATTTGAAAAGTAGGGATTGATTAAATACTATCTTATTATTTATTTTAATCCAATTCAATTAATTGTATATTATATATTTGTTTTTGTTTTTAAAACTTCAAATTTCAAGTTGATACCAGGACATTTTTTAGCGTGATATATATATATATATATATATATATATATATATATATATATATATATAATCTATTTTTGATAGGAAAATATCTGGATATTTAAAGATGTTAATTAGAACATTATTTCTCGATAAAAATATTCATTAACTATATTTTGATCAAAGTGATATTTAATTTATAATTTGTTATACATGGAAGATATATTTGGACTTTGATATAAGTTTTAGTAATTTTATTTGAAATATTATTGACTCGATTTAGAATAAGCTTTTCATCAATTTAATTTATGGTTAAAACTTATCTAACTCTTAGAAGAGTAATTTTTGGGATTTTTTTACAAATCTAACAATCAATTTAACTAAATATGCGTGGATAGCACACTGTACCTGTTATTTACCTGAACGGCACACACATTTTTACTGTCGGATTCGGTTCACGAGACACCGAATGTTATAAATAATTTTTTTTAATATATATATTTATATTTAATAAATATTATTATATTTTAAAATTTTTATTAATAACATGTAAAAGTGTTATTTAAAATATTTAATAAATATATTTTAAATATTTAATAAATATTATTATATTTTAAAAATATATTAAAATATAATAAAATTATTTATATATAATTTTATATTAAAATTATTTTATATTATATTAATAAAAATTTATTTATCATATTTGTATAAAAAATAATATTTTTACTTACTAAAACTATTTTATATTAAAAATATATTTAAATAATATATATAATTTATTTATATAAAAATGTTATCTAAAAAAATATAAATATAAATATATATATTAAATTTTATTATGTTTATAAAAATATAAAAAATTATTTAAATATTATTATATATATAGATTAAATATATTTGTATTTACTATATTTATACAAATATTTTAATAATATAATTATATAAATATATGTTTATTTTATATAAAAATTATATTTATTTTTATTTCATATATATATATATATATAAATAAAATTCTATAATATATATTTATATTTAATAAATATTATTATATTTTAAAAATTCTATTAATTTTTAAGGTCGAAATTCAGCGTACCAAAAACCGAATTTCATACTTCCAGCTATTTAAGAAAATAACGAATACGGTATGCTATCCACTTATATTTAGTTTAATTGAATACTATATTTAAAAAAAATCAATTTTTGGACTAGCATAGATAAATCTTTAAATTTGTTTTATTTTAAACAATTTTTTGTGCCTTTAATAGGAGCATTATTGACTTTATCTTCATGTAGATAATCATCCACTAAATCTTGATTAATATCTATTGAAGTATGATTAATTCAATTTGAATTGAAATATCTTTTAATTATGTTTTATTTGGTATTTGTTAGAGTATATTATTTTAACTTTGCTAATAAATTTTTAATTAGTCTTAAATTTTAATAAATCTTAACCTCTAGATCATTTTTAACCTATTTTTGATTCATACAGTTTTTTTGAAATATTTCATTTGAAACATTATTTATAGTATATCAATTAATATTGTAACCGGTGTTAACTACAATATAAAAAATATATTTAATTTCATCATCAAATAGCATCCTCTTTCATAATGACTTTCTATTTCAAAAAGAAAAATGTGTATTTATAATTCAACCACTAAATCAAATAATATATGTTTGTAAAGTAACGTTGTGAAACTAATTTATAAAAATAAATTTCATACAAACATTATCAATTTACCTCATGTATATTCTGAATTTAAGACACATTCATAGACTTCATAATTAACTTATTATCTTATGAAACCATGCTTTCAAATAATCTCAGCTTAAAAATCCTTATTTAAAAACAAAATCCTCATTTCTTTTCGTACAAGCTCAAAACAATTATCCTTGAATGAAAAAAAAAATTAACAAAAATAATACAAAATTATTGTTTCTGGATTGTTTTTATCATAGTTGTCAAAAACTACACGAAAAATATATTCTATATTACATTATTATGCCAAATATTATAATACAAAATTGCGATACATGTTAAATCAATCCTAATGCTATTGCCAATTAAAATTTCAATAAATCTTCTTTAAATTTTTTACAATTTCGGAATAATCTATTTATTAAAAATTGAATAAGATTTCTAAAAAGCATATTTTAAATTTATTTAAATTAAAAACTACCGACAGTTTTATTAATGGAGGTTGATGAATAGTAGTAAGAGGAAAGGAAAAGGTTGGCGTGTAAGAAAGAAATGAAACTACTTTTGTATTCCTGTTGGTAGGTCCCTGCAAGTAGTGCTTCAAATCGCACCGGTTTTTCTTCGTTCCAACACACCCACCACAATTGAAGTTGCAGTCATCAAGTTCATGATGCCCTCTGCATCTAAATACAAACCTATTAATTGCTACTATAAAATTAATTAGAATTAATACTAGAAGAAAGAGACAGACTCTAGAGAGAGAAAGAAAGAAGGGAAGGAAGAGGTCGTTGTTTGATTGCCAAGGAAGCATCTTTGGAAACCAACAGAATGATGCTGATGATGAAGTAAATGGGACCTGCACCTGCACTTTCACTTCCACCCCCACAGTTCAGTTTACACTTCAAATGGGTCTAGCTACAATCACCAACCATTCCTATTTGTCTTTTCTCTTTTCTCACTTCGGATCAAAGTTTGCGTCAACGTCATCTCTACCCTCACCTACACCACCTTCTTCTTCATCCTTATTGAGCTCTTCACGACCATGATCCTCTGCCTCCCGCTCACTATCGGATCTCAGTCGCGGATCCACCTTCAGCGTTCATTATCACCGACACTTTTTCGCTCTCTCTCATGGACCCCTCTACTTCTCGTCCAGCTGTAGTCATCGATAATGGCTCCGGGTACCCTTTACTTCCTTTTCTATCACCCACTAATTCATTTTGCTCTATGTTGTAGTTGTTTTCTTGGACACAACGTGTTTGTTAAAATACCCCATTGATGTTTACTTAGTTTTTTGACTAGGATTGACCGTAAAATTGATTCACCCGAATTGGATTTCCGCTGACTTTGGAAACTGAATTTTATTTTTTCAGGTATACGAAGATGGGGTTTGCTGGTAATGTTGAACCATGTTTTATTGTTCCGACAGTGGTTGCAGTTAATGAGTCGTTTCTGAATCAATCCAGGGGTTCTTCTAAAGGCAATTGGGTGGCCCAGCACAATGCTGGGGTTATGGCAGATCTTGATTTCTTCATTGGGGATGAGGCACTTTCCAAGTCTCGATCTAGTAGCACTTACAATCTCAGCTACCCGATTCGGCATGGCCAAGTTGAGAATTGGGATGCCATGGAGCGCTTCTGGCAGCAGTGCATATTCAACTATTTGAGGTGTGATCCGGAGGATCACTATTTCCTCCTGACCGAGAGTCCGTTGACCGCACCTGAGAGTCGCGAGTATACTGGGGAAATCATGTTTGAGACTTTTAACGTGCCTGGACTTTACATTGGTGTGAATTCTGTGCTTGCTCTTGCCGCTGGATACACAACATCTAAGGTTGGTAATTGGTACACTGGATAAAGATTGGGAATTATGTTGCGTATAGAATTGGAACTGGATGATTAATTTCGAATGCTTTACATATTGAGTATGATGCACGAAAAGCCCAGGATGCTTGGTAGATATTAAACACGGAATGCACAGGGTGTTTAATCAGCCCCTGCAATATAACGCATTTGGATGTGTTCACTTGAAACCAAAATTTAACCTCTAATTAGTACATAGGATAATTCAGCAGTACCCCTCATTGTGTTGACATAAAATGTTGACTCTGCATAATTATACTTGAACTTGATAATGATATCACAAGAGCTGTGAATAAATTTTGTTTCAAATTATAGGTGTCTATTTTTAGGAATATTTTCCTTTTAGGCTGATCTAAAATTCTTCTTAGTGTGAGATGACAGGAGTTGTTGTGGATGTTGGAGATGGGGCAACTCACGTGGTACCTGTTGCAGATGGCTATGTTATTGGTAGCAGCATCAAATCGATTCCTATTGCTGGAAAGGATGTTACTCTTTTTGTTCAGCAGCTTATGCGGGTGGGTAATCACTGTGGTACAAAATTAAAAGTTTATTATGCTGGTATTGTTCTCTTAGTTGAATATCTGTGAATTTTTTCAAACCTCTTGTTAATGTCGAACTAGCCGCTCTTACCTAGTGGGATTGTTGTTGTTAATGTTGAACAATTTCACAAATTACGATTCATACTAGCTAGTGAAACCAACCATGTTATGTTAATCCGGATGAACAATGCAGGATGCACTTATTGTAGTATTGTTATATTTTTAATAGTTAATAAATCTAAATAATGAGTAGGTATTTCATAATTGAGTCCGTACTTATTCACGTATTTAGCTATAATGTTTTGTTCAACTAACTTAGATTGTAATAAATAATAATCTGTATCCAAGTGTGAATCTGCATTTTGCTAAGCAGATTGATGAACTGTTTTGTTGACATTACTTTATACAGGAAAGAGGAGAGAATGTACCACCAGAAGACTCTTTTGATGTGGCACGGAAAGTGAAGGAAATGTATTGCTACACCTGCTCTGACATTGTGAAGGTTGCCTTTACTTTTTAGTTCAATACTAGTTCTTGGACAGAATCATGAGGGGTTTGTGGTGTGCCTTTGCCAATAGTTTTGTTGCCTCTGGCATTAGCATGTTGAATGTCGATAAATTCTCCCTATTTTACTTAATTTGCTCCTTTTGTGAATCAAAGGATGTAACTGAAGTTTTCTTTTCAATTTATTAGTTTTCATACATAACATCAGCTCAACATCTCTCAGGAATTCAATAAACATGACAAAGAACCTGGCAAGTACATTAAGCATTGGAGAGGCATTAAACCAAAGACAGGGGCACCATATTCATGTGATATTGGCTATGAACGATTTCTTGGCCCTGAGGTTTGTTCTATGGCCACTCCTTATATAACTATTTTTAGAGTAATTTTTCTGTTGAGAATACCTGAACCTGTTCCATCAGTGGCGGATCTTCTTGGGAACTATGATTTTGACCCTCCCCAAACTTTAATATATTTACCTGTGTATTTACAATTTTATATTCTCAGGCTCTTCTTAGTCTTGTAACTCTCATATAATTTATTATTTCCCACCCCAAACTTAATAATCATTTATATATTTACTTATACATTTACAATTTTATCCTCTCACCCTTTCATCTTGTTAAGGTTCCAACAAGAAACCAATTGACAATATGTGGAGTAGCCTAACATGTATTTAAACCATACCAAATGACATGAGGTAGGCGATGTGGGACTTTCAACACGCCCCCTCCAACGAAGCTCCAACATAAAACCAATTGGCAATATTTGGAGTAGCCTAACATGTATTTAAACCATACCAAATGAAACGAGGTAGGTGATGTGGGACTTTCAACACGCCTCCTCCAACGAAGCCTGCCGGATCAGGCAAAGAATACCAAATGAAATGAGGTAGGTGATGTGGGAACCAAATGAAATGAGGTAGGTGATGTGGGACTTTCAACACGCCTCCTCCAACGAAGCCTGCCGGATCAGGCAAAGAGTACTTTTGACCCAACTAAAGGGCAACTTTTGGCCCATGACAATAACCGGAAAGATGTTAGGTTTTGGCTCTGATACCATGTTAAGATTCCAACATAAAACCAATTGGCAATATGTGAAGTAGCCTAACATGTATTTAAACCAAACCAAATGATATGAGGTAGGCAATGTGGGACTTTCAACACATCTTCTTTCATCGTTTTATATTTATTTATTATTTTTTAATAATATATTATTTGGCTCCTAGAATCAATGGCCAAGATCCGTCACTGTGTTCCATGAACTAATGAATTAAATAAATATATACTTGATTAGTTCCTGACTTCCTTTCATTAATATCTGACATAAACCTATGTGTCTAAATAGGAAGATGGTAAACATTAAAGTGACATTATCCATTTTGTCTTGATCCTAACTTTTGCTGTAGAAAGTTAGAGTTTGTTTCCTTTTCTTTTATGGGTTATAAAAGAGGTCCAAAAAGTAGTGTGGGAAGGGGCAAGGGAGGCTTAAGTGCAGTCAGTGTAGCTTGGCTGGGGTTTTAACATGGGATGTTGATTGTAGTTTCTATCTCTAAGAATCTTGGTATCACTTAGCCATAGCCATTGGTTCCGCATGAGATATTTCCTTCAATTCCTTTATTAAAGAATCCATGAAAATGTAGTAGTGGCTTGGTCTAATTCCTGAGCTAATCTATAGATTCAGTTGGGGTCATTATATTCACAGAACCATTTAATTTAACTATATCTATATGTTTTCCTTCTGCAGATTTTCTTTAATCCTGAGATATATGGCAGTGATTTTACGACCCCTTTGCCAGCTGTAATAGACAAGTGCATTCAGTCTGCGCCAATTGACACGAGGAGATCATTATATAAGGTGAAGTACCTTACTGACACGAATATAAATAATCCCCAAGAGTGCTTTTAAATCTTAGTGAACTGCCACTTCGAATCATAAAATTAGGGATCTTCCAATATGTTAGCTTGGGGCATTTTTTATTGTTAGCCCAGATGGAGTACATTAGTGCCAAGTGTTATACCACTTCAGTTCAGCCATGATATTTAATTTCTGATCATATGAATTTGAAGTCCTTCGCTGTACATGTTGTTAACAACTGATCTCTTTACCTCTTGCCTATTTTATTTATTTTTTATTTTATTTCAGAATATAGTGTTGTCTGGAGGTTCAACCATGTTCAAGGATTTTCACAGGAGATTGCAACGTGATATTAAAAAAATAGTGGATGCTCGTGTCCTTTCATCTGAAGCACGCTTAAATGGGGAGATAAAAGTAAGTTAAATGCTGTGTCCTTTCTCACTCCCTCTCACACATGCACATATGAGAGAACCTTGCTTGCCCAAGTTGTATAGACTAAACCAATCAACAATCAAAGCATTATATTGTATTACATAATTTCATTTGTCCCAATTTTTTTTATATTGAAAATAGTGTTGTGTGGGTTGTTGATTGGTTTGGTTGTGTAACTTGGGCTTAGGTCTTCCCCTCCCCCAGGGCCCAAGACTCTGCATGGAAAAAATAGTCACATTGATGTAGCTATGGCAGGCTGAACTGCTATATATTTATTGCTTTGGTCTTGCATTAACTTTTCTTACTTCATTAATTTGGTGCCTACAGTCACAACCAGTGGAGGTAAATGTACTTAGCCATCCAATCCAAAGATTTGCGGTTTGGTTTGGAGGATCAGTACTTGCATCAACACCTGAATTTTTTACGGTATGCATTTCTGACATCGTTTTTGGGGGTTAGGAGGTACAGTGTGTGCATCCCATAATGACTAATTTTATGTACTAATATCGTGCTCTTCCATCTAGGAGGTAGTTGTTCTGTGACTAACTTTCTTCCTTGCTATGACTTATAAATACCATTGGTCCAGGACAATTTTTGTGTGATAGCATGTTTGTAGGTTTGAGATGTACCTTAATTTGTTCTTGAAAAGCTATGGTACATGGATTGCATGTCAATGTCATGTTTATAGCTGATCGTCGTTGCCTCTTTGTCTGGCAATATCCTGAGTTTTGTATGCTTTGCCAAGATAAACGAGTTTGATTGCACCTTATGGTATTGTTTGGAAAGTTTAGAAATATGAAACTTACTAGAAAATAGAAGAAAAAAGAGATTGCCTGAACCATAGGTAAAAATTTGGATCTACTTTGAAGAATTTCAAATCTACCTGTTTTTCTTGTTCTTCAGAACTAAGTTGTTTACTCTAACAAGACATACGTCTTTGCTGTCCATCCATGAGGGCTCAGCCGTGAACCCAGTGACTGCTGCATGTGAACTCAGGTCCAACAGCTTTGGTGGTGGTGGGGATGAGGGTGACTGTCTAAAACTTGAATTATCATGACTTTCTCTGGACTCTCCTGCCTTGGATCCATTGTCGTGCTGTGAACCTTAGATGCAACAAATAATGATAAAGGCTCACCTAGTTAGTTTGAATTTCAACGCCATCGATGTTCCATCCACCTCTATGGTCCAATTTATGTCTAACGGTAACAATCTTTTCTGGAAATCTGGGTTTTGAAAGAAGAGGTCTGGTTGCATCTCTACCTTCAACTTCTATCTCAATGAATCTATTACAGGGTTATCTCCTGAAACTAGTCATAGCAGCCCACATTCTTCACTCTGTTTTCCTTTTGTTTCTCCCTTTTCAATGAAGGATCAACATCTTCCATGTCCATAACCATTTCAATCTTTTTTTTGGTGCTAATTTTACTTCATTTTTGGCTTCTTTTCCACCACATGAGGTGTGATTCTTGATTATTGAACCTTCTTTACTTATTTTTTCTGACCTCAAGAATTGCTATGGGTCATTGTCACAATTGAAAGTCAGAACTGCTACCCTTAAAGTTCTTTCTGTCTTTTGCTTCAAGTTATTTCGTCTATTTTCTGCTGCAACTCCTCAGCCTCAACGATTTTGACACCCAGCTCCACAACTTTATCCCCCTCAATTACGTCTTTAACATCTAGCTCCCCTCACAGGTGATTTGATTCTTCCACTGAATAAATATATATGTCTTGCCATGACAACATTACCCATGTACCCGATGCCTTATTTTTTTTCATCAACATCTGGATCATATTTTTAAGAGTTTTTTAAGAGAAATGCTAACAATGCTCTCTCAATTAATGGTTAAACTTAATTGAAAATCACAATTTTTTTTTGAGAACCTCTCATGAGTATCTATCGTTGTTTTGTAGATTCCAATTAAATTCAGATAATTGTAGAGACTGTATTAAAAAATGTGTTTCACTCCTCTCTTTTAATCTCTGATTCCTTCAAACTTCTTGATCTCCAAAAGCTGATTAATTTGATCCTCAATTACTTCTTTTCTGGAGTTCCACTGAACACTGACTCCATTGTGGTCTGCGTTCTGGTTCTGTTTCTCGTGTCTTCAGCAATCTCTTTAACCTAGGTAGCTCAGCGGTCTTTTCTTTCAAGAACCTTATGAATTGTCCATTTCTCTCCAGAATTTGGATCTGGGGTTATTCAATATGGTCAAATTGTAGGGTGGGTCAAACCAATTTGTTAGGAACTCATTAGAAAATAGATGAAGAAAGATGATATTTCTTGATTTCAAAAGAACAGAAGATAAGAGAAATAACTCTCCTCTCCTCCAATGGTCTCTCTCCTCTCCTCCAATGGTTTCTCATTTGATAAATCATAAAGAGTAAAACTTAGTTCTCAAATGATACAAAGATACAATGAGCCCTTTCCGCTTACATTCTCCTATTTATTTAACTCATTAGCCCCTCAACTAACCAATCATATCCTAACCGTTAAAACTAATTTCCTAACTACTAACTGTCAAATCCGTAGTTGGTTGTCTTTACTTCTTCTGGCATTGATAACCTGAATTTTCTATGATTTGCCAGTTTGAATGAATCTATGATTGCATTGATCGTGACAAAATATATGGTAATAATGTTAATGTTTGCTAAGTTTATATTTATGAAACTTGAACAGTGTAAAGTTATGACTCGTTTTCTTCTTTTCGTTTTGTCATCCTTGCGGGACTGCAATATGTTTTCAGTTTTCTTGCAATAATGTTCTCGGAGTGAGAGTATCCATAATTTCTTAATGTTTCTTAAATTCTTCCGATATGTCTCCTTGCAAAACAATATTAGTTTTACAATTTATGTTTCAATGTACAGGCTTGTCATACGAAGGCAGAATATGAGGAGTATGGAGCAAGCATTTGCCGCACCAATCCCGTTTTCAAGGGGATGTATTAAAGCAACAACGAATGAGTTGATCATGGATGCAATTACTTTGAATGAATATCCTGTTATTTTTTTCCCCTCAATTTCACTTCCTCTTCTTTCTTCCCACCTGTATTCGTGGTGGCAGGAGTGACTGTAAAATATGTATATTCATTGAAAATATGCATTTGTTTTTTTATTCCAGCAGTCTTCCTAGGGAGTCTTTCCAGCAGGTCAAGATGGTACTTCATGGCTAGATAGAAATTGATCTTTGACTAAGTTCTATATTTTTTGCCATTCATTGCTGGGATTGATGATTCCATGAAAGGGCAGTTTGGGACAATATCATATTCAATCTTCATTCGTTGTTTGGTGCGCTTACCTGATACCTATAATGACCAATATTTGGTAAAATTCAAAATGATTTGATTAAGAAGTGTTAACACAGCACATTCGAATTGGCTTATCACGAAATATCATATTTTCAGTGGGTTGAGTAAATCAGTGCACATTTTCTAATCTAATGTGTGAGCTCATTTTTTTTATCTTTTTCAAGTTATACTAGATTCTAATGCCCTATTAAGTAATTATAGCATGTCAAACTTTTAAATTTATATATTAAATAACAAGTAATACATTCACAGAATCACAACTTGATGAAGTCCATTATATTATAATAGAAAAGAAGTTAGACACTTTGCAAATTACTCTTCTTTCCATTCTCTATCCACTCTTATATTTTAAATTAAAACACTCCTATTGTCTCAAACATTTCGATTGTTTTCTCTTTTCTATTTTTGTTCTTAGAATTATTAATAGGTAGTGGTAAGTAGTTGGTAGTTGGTGGTTGATTTTTTAAATGTTGTAATCATATATATATATATATATATATATATATATATATATATATATATATATATATATATATAAATCTTTTTTAACTCTCTTAACTTGGTATTAGAGCAAGTTGGTTCTGCTCTGCTTTTACGGTCGACCACCGTCCGACTACTTTTTTAGTCATTTTTTTGACCACTTTCCAATGTCACTTTTTTGTTATCATTCGACGACTTTTCGACCACCTTCCAGTGGTGATCTTCCAATCTCTGTTTCGCTACAGTTGTCCGCTGTTGTCATTCGTCAATTTTCTTGCAAAGTAAAAATTGATACTTCCCTCTCTATCTAATTTTATCTTGGGTGTTCTCCTTCTTACAAGTTTCATTGTCTCCATCTATATTATTTAAAACATGTCGTCAGGGCCCACAACCTCCTTTTCCGGAACTCCCACTATAACAGCTGAGAACTTAAATGGAAAAAATTACAAGTCCTGGTCCTCTTCAGTGGAACTTTGGTTCCTTGGGCAAGGGTTTCACGATCATCTAGAAGAAGACAGAAGTAAGATACTAGAAGATCATACTCAAAAATGGAAAAAGTTTAATTATCAACTATGTGCTCTATTGTGGCAATCAGTAGAACAAAATATTTTGAATACTCTTAAATCCTTCAAAACATGTAACTCTTTCTGGAAAAAGACTCAGAATATCTTTGCAAATGATATCCAACGCCTCTATGATTCCGCTAATTGATTAATCTCTCTCAAGCAAGTGGGTAAATATATGATGACCTTTATTGCTGAAGCTCAATCAGCAGTTGAAGAATTAAAGATGTTCCTAGAGGTGGATTCGTTAGAGGAGATAAAGAAAAAGTTGGATAAATTTTATATGGTTATGACTCTCCCGACTATGAATTCAGAATTTGATCATGTTAGAGATCAAATTTTGACTGCACAAGAAGTTCTTTCTATGGAAAGTTTGACTACAAGACTGCTTCGTGTTCCAACTCTCAAAGGAAAAAATAATCAAGAACTTGTTGAATCTTCTGCTATGATTTATACTTGTAGAAGAGGAAGTTACGACACTAGAGGAGGACGTGGAGGTAGAGGACGTCCTCAGTGCATTTATTGCAAAAGAATGGGTCATACCCTGAAAAATTGCTACTCTTTGTACGATTATCCTGACAAGACTGTTAATATTTTCAAATCTGAAATGGTTGAACCCAAGTTCTCTCACGAAGAATATCAGAAATATTTGATGTTGAAATCCAGCAGTCTAGCACAGTCATCAACAACCCTAAATTCATCAACAACTTGCATTTCACAATCTGTGGAAAGTCAAAATCCATGGATTATTGACTCAGGTGTTTATGATCACATGTCTGGTAATACCTCATTGTTCTCTTTTCTCTCATTTCCTAAAACTCCTCATCTCATAACCTTAGCCAACGGATCTAAAGTAGCATCTAAAGGAATTGGTTAAGTCTCCATTTCTCCGTCTTTAAACTTAAAATTTGTTCTTTTTGTTCCTTCATGTCCCTTCAGTCTCATTTCCCTAAGTCAATTAACTAAATTATTGAATTGTTTAGTAACCTTTAATGTCAACTCTTTTGTTATACAGGAACGTGGTACGAGTCGATAGATTGACGAAGGACATGAATTTGGAGGCTTATACTACCTTGGGACTAAATCATCTGTATCCTGTGTTGCATCCTTATCTCCAAAACTATTACACGAACATTTAGGGCACCCTCACTTGTCAAGATTAAAAAAAATGGTTCCTGAGCTTCAAACTCTTCAAGATTTTGAATGTGAATCATGTCAACTAGGGAAACATATTATGTCCTCTTTTCCTAAACGTTCTTAATCTAGATGTGACTCTGTCTTTTCTCTTGTTCATTATGATATTTGGGGTCCTAGTCATGTCTCATCCTTTGACTATAGATATGTTGTTACCTTCATTGATAAGTTTTCTAGGTGTACTTAGATTTATCTAATGAAAGACCGTTCTGAATTATTTACCTATCTTTAAGTCTTTCCTTAACGAAATCAAATCAATTTGGAAAAATAATCAAAGTTTTACCAAGTGATAATGCCAAAGAATATTTTTCTACTGATTTATCCACTCTCTTAACTTCCCAAGGCATTTTACACCAGTCTACTTGTCCTCACACACCACAGCAAAATGGTGTAGCAGAACGAAAAAATAGACATTTGGTTGAAACTACTCGTACCTTATTACTTGGTGCAAATATGTTTGTTCATCATTGCAGAGATGTTATTCTTACTGCATGTTTTCTCATTAACAGAATGTCATCTTCTTCTCTTGACAATAAAGTTCCACACTCTATTCTATGGCCAAAGGAGCCACTCTTTCATGTTTCTCCTCGTGTATTTGGTTATGTATGTTTTGTTCATGATATGTCTCCAAGTTTAGATAAACTATCAGCTAGAGCCATCAAATGTGTCTTCTTGGGATATTCTTATCTTCAAAAAGGATATCGATGTTATTCTCCTGAAACCAAGAGGTACTACATGTCTGCTAATGTTACTTTTTTTGAATCCACTCCCTTCTTCCCTTCTTCTATGCAGGATATTAGTTTGGTCCAAAATGTCCTACCTATACCCTTAGTGGAGTCATTTGTACCTACTCCTCCTGACACTCAAAATTCCACACAAAATACACCAGAATCATCATCACTGCCTCTTATTACCTATCAACACCGGAGTCAAATGATCAGTCCAATGCCCCAAGATGAGTCTTCCTCAGTAGATCATTCTCAATCATCCCCTAATACCACGATTCTTGATAATGATGACTCAAGTTTGTTGAAAATACAAGGGTATGATGCCTGAAGATTTTGATGATGATTCAAAGATAAATGACTTCAAGATTAGAAGACTTATATACAATTGTATTTATTTGTAATAACTATATTTTATCATTTTAAGTATGTAAAAATAGAGTCCAAGATAGTCAGCACATAGTCTGACCATTGAAAGTTCATTTTTAACAAAAACGTTCTCTGATAATTGATTATCACCTGGGATAACTACTTAAAAACATATTTGTGAAGACCACTGGAATAATCGATTATCACTGGTAATAATCGATTATCCTAGTTATACCTGAATTTTTGAAAGTCACTGGAATAATCGATTACCTTTGTGGATAATCGATTATCCTGGTCAAATTTTGTCTTCTACGAAAGTAGCTCTGTGATAATCGATTATCACTTATGATAATCGATTATTTGTGTCAGTTATGATTTTGAATTTCAAATTTCAAACCTATTTTTAAAAATTCCTAATTTCAAAACCCTAAAATCTTTATTTAAGGAACTCTCTAGCTCTCTCTAAACAACAAACATTTTTCATACTAAAGTTTATAGTTGTGATTACTGAGATAACTTTGAGTAGGGAAGAAAAATGGGCTTTTGTAACTTAGTGTGGGCTAGAAGCGATAAAAATCACTAAGTGAGTTTGTTGGTGGATTGTGTGTTGTGTCGTCTCTAGGAAAAGTTGTCTTCATCCTTTGTGGCTTCAAAGGAGATGTTCATCTCTTGTATGACTCAAGAGAGGTGTTTTCTAATCCTTATTATTTGTAATTTATAATCTGTTTGAACTATTGTTTTAGTGACTAGGTTAATCCTCTTTTAGAGTGATTAACAACTAGACGTAGGGTCTTTTAATCTGAACCAATATAAAATTAACTGTGTAATCTTCTTTTTTTTTTATCTTTTTACTTTTCAGTTGTTGTTTAATCGGTTAAATCTTGCGAAAAGTTTTTAAAGTGATAACTTTTATAAAGAAATCAATTCACCCCCCTCTTAGTTTTGTCCTAAACGCAAACATTCCACTGCGCGATTTCAACAAGTGGTTTTAGAGCTTGCTTTGATAGTTTTTCAAATTTTTGAAAATGGTCGGACAAAACCAAACTTTTGCTGAGGGTGCCTCTATTAACAAACCCCCACTTTTTGCTGGTCAAAATATCCTTTCTGAAAAATTAAGATGCAAATATTTTTGGATTCTATTGATAGGGGTGTTTGGGAAGCTGTTGTAAATTGTCCTTTTATTCCTAAAATGATTTTAAATGAAGTAGAGGAACCAAAACCGTTTTCTAGATGGACTGTTGAGGAAAATAGAAAGGTCCAATATGATGTTAGGGCTAGAAAGGGAGATTTATTGATGATTAGGCGATTACTTGATAGTTAATTGAAACATATGGAAGAAAGCCAAAGAAAAAATATTTTTCATACTAGATGTTTAATTAATGACAAGGTGTGCATGATGATCATAGATGGAGGTAGTTGCACCAATGTGACTAGTGCTAGATTAGTATCAAAGCTAAATTTAGCTACCAAACCACATCCTAGGCCATATAAACTTCAATGGCTTAGTAAGGATGGAGAGGTGCAAGTGAGACAACAAGTTGAAGTGGACATTTCTATTGGAAAATACAATGATAAGGTGCTTTGTGATATTATTCCTATGGAAATCAGTCACTTACTTTTGGGGAGACCATGGCAATTTGATAAAAGAGTTAGTCATAACAGGTTCACCAACAAGATCTCTTTCATGCACCAAGACAAGAAGATTGTGCTCAAACCTTTGAGTCCACAAGAAGTGTGTGAGGATAAAAAGAAAATGAGAGAAAAACTTCTTCAAGAAAAGAGAGAGAAAGAAAGCGTTAGTGAAACACTTGAGAGGAAAAAAAGTGATCAAAAGAAGAGTGAAACACTTGAAGTGAGGGAGAACTATTTAGCCATAAAAAGTGAGTATAATGTTAATTTTATATTCAATTTGTCAGGCTTATCTCTTTTTTATGTAGATGGCGAATCCGATTTGAGGACAAATCATTTTCAAGAGGGAGAGAATGATGTGAATATGACCTATGATAAGGGCTGGAGCAAGGGAAATAAAGGAAGCTCTTCAACAAATATTGTTGGTTGACCAAATTATGTTTTGAATTAATCAATTAATGAGCTTTAGTTTAATTTTGTTTTTAGTTGTAATAAGGGTCCAATTGAAAATTTAATCATCAGCCTTTAGGAAACCAAGGGGTGCATAGCTGATTGACTTTTGGTTGTCACAGTTTCAGATACAATCAGTCATTAAGTAGTTTCAATTTCTAGGTTAATGGATCATTATTAGCATTTATTTGTTTCCATTAAATAGTTTTCAATTCCTAGATTAATGGGTTATTATTAGTATTTATTTTCTTTTATTGAGTCTTTGTAATTCTGATGGCAACGCTTCTATATCAGCTGAACCATTTTTATCAAAAGATAACAAGTGAAATTTTATTCATAAATATTAGAGTTTATCTCTTTTATCTTAGTGAGAGTGATTCTCCTAAATTCTTGATTGATTCAAGAACCTTTGGTTGTATCAAAGGACTGTCACATCCTTTGTGTGTTGCCTCTCTTGGGAAGAGTGGTTCTTTCCTTCTACCTTCTTTTTAATTCATAAATTTCTTACAAGGTTCTAACCGTAAATATCTTAAATCACCCCTTGTGATTCATATCATGTTAGCACCCCACAATGCCCCTTTCGGGTTCCTATGATAGATTATTTCATAAAATAAAGAATCTAGAGATACCCTATTTATTCATTGTAGTATTTAAATAACTATCTACATGGCTCTAATATCTAATGCACACAAAAGAAAGTAGTAAAGGAAAGCGATAAAGGAAAGAATAGAGAAAAGAACTTCTGAAGCAAGCTTTCTATAAATTATTTAAACTTGAGGACGTTTTTTGACAGTCTTCTCGCTCTACAATGTCGCTCCTCCCTCCAATGGAAAAGAAAACTCAACTCACGAGTGTCTGAAAGATCACTCAGACTCCAGAATAATGCTCAGAGTCACCTAGAGGTCTTAGAATGCCTTCTAAGGTGAGAGAAGAGTGTGAGAGTGTGTGTAAATGAGGGAAATGAGGTCTTATTTATAGGGAAACGTGCCAGGAGGGTTGGAAGGTCATCTGGTCCATATATGAACGGTCATCCATGGCTCAAAATGGGCATGGACAGTCGTCTCGTCAACATGGACGGTTGTCTGGTTAGCATGGACAGTCGTTCATGACTTTAAAATAAGCATGGATGGTCGTCTGGTCAGCTTGGATGACCGTACAGCGCCTTCTGACGGCATCTCTAATTTTTTATTTTCTAAAAACCCTCTTTTTCTAAATGAAGCCTAGTAAACACTACTAGAGGCCCTATGAAGCCTTCTTTATCTTCAGAACGAAGAATTTCTAGTCTTTATTGTGAGGTCGGGTAAGATTAAGGGTCTACAGGACCTTGAATTGAATTTATTGTTTCAAGCTTGATACATACAATTTGTATGCTCCAACTTAAGGGAGAGTGTTAGAATTATTATTAAATAGTGGTTAATAGTTGGTGGTTTTTTTTAAAATACTATAATCCTTTATATATATATATAATTATAGAGTCGAGTGATGCATCCCACTAAATTATAATTCTTTTTAACTCTTTTTACTCTCTTAACTTTAGTAATATCGTATTATCATCTTCTTATTACCCGTCTTAAACACATAATATGATATACTATAATGTTATTTAGTTACATTATCTTGTGTATCAATTTTAATCCTATTATACTTTTGTTTCTTATTCTGTTATCTCTACCCCACATAATCTCTAGATATGCTAGTCATCAATGTTTTTGTATTCATGAAATTCAAAGAACGGTATCTTTCTTGTAATTAAATGTTTATACCATTTATGGATTGGAGCTGGGGAAGAATGATTCAAGATTGGATTGAATACTTGAACCAATCATTGTTATCGCCTAAACATGCTATAGCTTTGGTCAGTTTTAACCAATTATATGGGTATTTTGTTTAATGATGTTATAGATAATCCTTAAGCAGGTATATTGTTCTTTGTGATCTTATGTTGGTGATATTGTACGCTCACTACTATTAAGATGTGAAATTATCAATGTTTGTCAAGTGAAATAGTAGTGATGCTTATTATTAGCGAATCATGAAACTTATATAGACAATTATTCATATTGAAATAGTAGTGATTGATTAACAATATTTTCATAATCAAGGTTTCTTAAAAATCATTTTCAATAGAAATTAAAGTAAAACTATTTAATCTATTCTATGAGATATATAAGATCATAATTAATATTTTAACAATTTAATTTCGAATTTTTTGAAGTTAACAAAAAGGCTGATCTAAAAAGTCATATTACATGTAGGATTACCTCTCCTAATGTTAAACATTCATCGTCTCTTTACTCTTCAAATAGTAAATTGAGTAATGCAAACATCATTTATCATATATTAATATTTTGACGGATTATTATCTTATTATAATGGTTTATTTTTCTAATAAAAATATATAATATTAATACTAATTATATAAATTTTAATTTTAACATGTGCATCTACAGTATGTTTTGCCCTCCCAAAATTGGGATCTTCAACAATCATATGCTTTAGATCGAAAGGAAAGTGAATTAATAAAAGTAAGCATATAAATAAATATAAAAGAAGGATAATTTAGGATGATATAGAAGAAATTTTATACTACCACCTCAGTATTTATATATAAGAATAAATTAATGTTATTTTTATTTTTGTTTTATCGTTTTAATTATCATATTAAACCTTAGTTTCATGTATTATTATTATAAAAATATTTACATTTATCAATCAATTCAATTTTATTTTAAAGTAAACAGTATAAAAGTTAATAACCGTACCATATGTGTTCAAATTTAAATTAAATTATCATTTTATTTTAATTTCTTAACATATAACTTCGTATACAAATTTATTCAAAATTAATAAATCCTCTACAGAGAGTAATATTTCTTAATCTACTTCCAAATCAAAACACAAACTTAAAATCATGGACCAAATTAGAAGAATGATACAACTTATCTTTAGCAACCATAAAGCATAAACGGCTCATCCATCATCCTGTATCTTCTTTTTTTGACTCAAAAACTTCGTTTTTCTTTCTCTCCCTCTTCAAATTTAAGCTTTCTTCACAAACTTTCAGCTCATCCAAAACATAAAACATACAAAGCAAAATTAAGCATGAGAAGGAACACGTTCTGCCATTGTTGTTCATAGCATGAGCAACATGCATGTGGGAATGAACGTCACACTCACAAAACCATTCATCCTAAGATGCTTTATCATCTCCCTCTTCCTCTCCCTCCCCTTCTTCCTCTTCCTCTTCCGCCACCTTTTCTCTCCGCAGCAACACCACCGCCACGTCAGCATCGCCGCCACCGCCACCACCACCAACAACAACAATAGCAACCTCAGAATCCGACCCGGTTACTCCTCCTACGACGCCTACATACAGCGGCAGCTCAACAAGACCCTCAACCCGCGCCTCCGGAAAATATGGACCACGCGCGACTGGAACCGCAAGATCCCGGTTTTCGCGCGCTTCTTCGAGGAGCTTAAGGAAAAGAAGCTTCTGGACAAGAACTCGAAGGCGCTTTGCATAGGCGCGCGCGTCGGGCAAGAGGTGGAGGCGCTAAGGCGCGTGGGCGTTTGGGACTCGGTGGGAATGGACCTGGTTCCGTACCCTCCCCTCGTGGTTAAGGGGGACTTTCACAACCAACCGTTTGAAAACGGCACGTTCGACTTCGAATTCTCGAACGTGTTCGACCACGCACTCTACCCGGAACGCTTCGTGGCCGAGATCGAACGCACGTTGAAACCCAACGGCGTGTGCGTCTTGCACGTGGCACTGTCGCGGCGCGCTGATAAATTCTCCGCTAACGACCTCTACAGCGTGGAGCCCCTCGTCGCGCTGTTCAAAAACTCCGCTTTGGTTCACGTTCGTGACGTCGATGGTTTTGGGTTGGACACCGAGGTTGCGTTTCGTAAGAACACCTTACGTTAATGTTTCTTTTTCTTTCTCATGTCTTTTTTTTTCATTATATATTTAGACAAACTTTTTTATTAATATTTTTTAAAAAATATAATAAACTTTTTTAATATATAAAAACATGTTTAGACTAATTTATTAAAAACTTCTAAAAAGAGAAAAATGAATTAAGTGAATTTCAATATAAAATAAATTTAGCTAATATAAAAAAATAGATATAAGATAATATAAATTAAATTATGAATAACTTGTGAAAATTCTTTTGTATAATTTAAAAAAAATTATATTTTTAGTTTGTATATAACTTAATGTTAATTTATGAAAGTGTTGTTAGATTTTTATTTTATTTTTCTTATTCTTATTGAGAAGATTTTTCAAATATTTTTAAACGCTGGAGAATTACATGAACACATTGATCCCAGTTGGCAATCTAACCAATGAAACACAAAAGTTGTTAGTAAGAGATCAATAAAAAGATCGAAGAAGTGAAGGGAAGCAAATATCGAGAAACAAATACAATTGATTGAAAAATCGATAAAATTGACAAGACACCTGGTGACCACAAAGATAAAAACTTATCGAGTATTGAAATCGAGAAAATAACGTTTAACGTTCGTTGGTGAAGAAAATCAAGAAATCAAAATCATGTAACGTTAAGGATACCGAGAATCAAAAACAATCCAAAACTCTCGAAGTCTCAAAGTCTAAATCGAAGGGAAGGCTAACATACGCAAATATCGAAATTTTGGCTAAAAAGAACAGTCGACGTATACATCAAACATAGTAAGCAGTGGCAAAGGCCGAAGGTCAAGGGAACAGTTACCTCATGCATGGGAACGTGGATGCAGTTTCTAAACCATAGAGCTAGGAGCAAAACTGCAAAAAGACGTGCACAGAGAACGTGGTAGCAGTTTTCATTAACTGCTCTTAAGAAACTACTTGAAAGGACACTCTATAAATAGAGCGAAGGAGGAGAGGGAGAAGGTGTGTGGAAATTGGCAGAGAGAACAGAAATACTAGTGAGAAGTCTACCGGAGCACGACGAACATCATGAAGTTTCTGGCGATCTGGATTTCCATGCTCATTGAGTACTTTTACCGCTTTCTTTATTTTCCCTGGTAATTTACTTTGATGCAGTTTATGTTTAGCAATTTAAATTTCTGTACTTTCGATTCCTTGTCATTTCCCTTAAATGAAAGTTAAGTTTCTGCGTTTAAGTTCCTTGTCATTTACATTAACGCAATTTCGATTTCCTGCTGTTTACATTTCCGAGATTTCGATTACTTGTCATTTACCGTTTGTACAATTTCGATTTCCTGTTATTCTTTTTTTTGCAATTTCGATCTTCTGTTGTCTATTTTTCTGCAAAGTTAGATTTTCGCTTATTTACAATCCTGTAATTTTCGATTCCTTGCCATTTACACTTAATGCAATTTTGAGATTTCCGCACTTTACATTTTCTGCAATTTAATATTTCTTTGCAGTTTTACATTCGGCACTGCTTTTCGATTAGTCATTTTACTGTTTTTCTTATTTCGAGTACTTTAAATACAAAATACCAAAAATAGTGCTTTCGATTATTAATCTTAGTGGTTTTTATACGGTGGTACTTTCGATTCTCATACGCATTTCGATTGAAATTCAGTTGCTAGCCTAAATATAAAGAATCTACGTGGTTGAGTTTTGGTTAGAATCAAAGCTTCTTAAGGATCGAAATTAATCAAAATTCCACCAGAAACACAAGTATATCTATATATGTGGTGTTGGTAAGGATAAAAGAAGAAACATATTTGATAGTAAATAAAATTATTGGTTTTGGTTCCTGCGACGAACAGCAATGGAGAATCGCCAAGCATCGAGGAGAGGGTCGGGGATTAAGTGTGCGAAGAACCACTGAAGTGAGTGAGCCCAATGAGGTGTGCACTTTGGTTTGTATCCGATTTCTTCAACTCCTGCTCTTGCATAAGCCTCAGGTGTTGGCACAAACAATGAATCTCTCTCAATACAAGCCACCCTCGATACCATATTCGTTGCCACGTACAGTGGTACCTTCACTCATTTTAAATATAAAAAAACTACATGATTAAAATATTCATTTTACATACTCTATCTTATTATTAATAAATGTTTTAATCATAATATATACATATAATTATGTATTTAAAATTAATGTTTTAATATTATGAAAATATATTTTTAATAATTTTTTACATATTATTATAAAATAAAACTAGTAAAATAATTATTAAAGATAAATTATTTTATTAAAATTAAAGATATATAGTATTGCATGTATTTTTATACATCTATATAATTAATTATGGATAACTTTTAATAATAATAAAGTAATTAGATGCCATATATTGATTGAAACACATATAATTAATACACTCAAATCAATCCTTTTATTTCCTGGTTTAACAGTAAATTAATTAAAATAAACAAGGATTTAGAAAATGATAACATTAGTTAATTGTACCTGACATTGCACATGTATCCCATATTGTCCATACTCCACGTAGAGAGATCTTGAAAATTGATCCACGTAACTGCATGTTTTACCAATGGCTTAGTTATAGTATACTGTCTATTTAAAAAAAAAATATTAAATTATCTTAAATTTAAATTATATTCATAAAATAATTAATTATTACCAAAATTTATATTTTGTATTTAGAATAATAAATTGATAATATGCAAAATCACTATCGTTAATTACAAATTATATAATCTAATAGTTAACCTACCATGATTATTATTTTGGATTGTCGAATTATAAAAAAAAAAATTAATTTAATTTTTTTCTCTTGTATTATTTGGTAAAATAATTAGATTTAATTAAACACATTATTTTAAAAACATATTCAAACATATATATAACATTTAATGTAAATATCATATCAAAATACTTCTATAATATATACTTTTAATAAAATTTGACAAAAATTTAATAGTAATTTTTTTTATTTTGTTCAGTGCTCATTAAAATATAGTTGAGTTGAGTAAATTGAGAGTTGCTGTATCTCTTAAATGAGAGCTCAGTCTCGTAACCACAATCACTCCCAATACCCTAAATTTTGGATTGGGAAAAGTATCATAACAAAGTAATTAATTTTATATTTATATAAGTTTTTTTTTAAGATAATGTAATGATGATTAATTTTGTCTGAAATTTGGAATGATTAATTAGGTTTTACATATAAGTAATATTTAGAACGTTGAAAGGGTTAGGAAAAAAAAAAACTTACGCTTTGGTGGCAGCATAGACGGTGTAGAGAGGATGGGAAGGCACAACCACCGAAGCACCGGAGCCAATGTTAACGATGGCACCCTTTCTCCGTTCCAACATCCCACGCAAAACACATTTGGTTACTCTGGTTGTTCCTTCCACGTTCACTCTAACAATCTTCCTCCACACACTCTCCTCCACTTCATCAAAAAACATCGCACTGGGATACGTGATCCCCACGTTGTTCACCAACACGCCAACATCCAACCCCTCAATCGCCTCCTCCAGGCGCCGCAGCCCCTCCGAGAGGTCGCCGCACGCGAAGTCCATCTCAACCACCTTTACGCGCGCGTTTGGATGCTTCGCCTTGATTTCACGCGCAACGGCTTCGAGCTTCTGGAAGGTTCTGCTGACGAGGATGAGGTTGAGTCCCCGCTGTGCCAGCTCGCAGGCGAAGGCCTTTCCGATGCCGTCGGTGGCTCCGGTCACTAGAGCCCAGGAACCGTAGGTTCGGACGAGGTTTTTCTCGGATCGGAAGCAGGTTCGGAAGATCCATGCGAAGAGGGAGAGGAGGTGGTGGAGGGTGACGATGAAACCGAGACACGAGATTATGAGGACATACTCATGAACTATGTTACATGCTGCTGCCATTACCATCTTTTCTTGGGCACAAACTCTGCACGTTACCTTAAATACTGTGGTAGGTGAACATCATAGTCACATGCACGGAGGTTGAGGATTCAATTAATATGTCAGACCAATAACAATTCTTACACCTAACAAACCCTATCAACATATCCCTCTCGTACCAAATTTCTTACAACATACTATTTATGTGCTTATCCCACTGGAAACACAGAGGAGATTATATAAATTACATCACCAATGTGGCAATTAACTTCCGTTTAATCAATGTAGATACCAAACGTAGAGAGTGTTCATTTTCTACATCGGTTAAAACGTAAAAAAGTGATATATAACGTCACTCCAAAAACAACCGATGAAAAGTACGTGTAACTGGACTTGAAGTACATGAAGATTGTTGATTTTGATGATGATTCAAGAACATAAAGACTTAGAGTGTTGAAGACTTGTTTTGTATTGTAATAACTCTGTTTCAATTAGATTGAGTTTGTAATATTAGAGTTTAAGATAGCCGGTACATAGTGTGTATCTTAGAAGCTTCAAAAAGCTCAAATTTATCATTCAGGCTCGGCTTTAATCGATTAAATAGGGAAATAATCGATTAAAACAGTGAGAAAAACCATTTTCTGTAGTTGCTCACTGGTTTAATCGATTAAATAACAGGTCTGTTAATCGATTAACAGCCCTTTTAATCGATTAAAACAGAGAGTTTTAGGGTTCTGTTGATTTTGGCTCTGTAATAATCGATTAATACTTCATTTAATCGATTATTTCAGTCAGATTTTGATTTTTAACTTCAAATCAACCCTATTTTCGAAAACCCTATTTCCAAGAACCCTAATTCCGAAATTCCCAATTCTCAAACCCTAATTTCTCTACTTAAGCTTCTCTATGGCACTCAGAAATCAAGAACAACTTTTTTCATACAAAAGTTAAGTGTTGTAGTGTCAGAGAACTGTTTGTTGCAAGAAAAAAGGGGCTTTTGGAACCTGGTGTAGGCTAGAAGCGATAAGAATCACTAAGTGGAGTTCTTAGTGGATTGTGTGTTGTGCCGTCTCTAGGGAAAACTGTTCTTCATCTCTTGTGGATTTCAAGAGAGGTGTTTTCTTATCTTTATCTTTTCAATTGTAATTTGTTTGTAACAACTTGATTATAGTGACAGCGTTAATCCTCTGTTTGAGCGATTAGCAACTGGACGTAGAGTCTTTTGATCCGAACCAGTATAAATTTTCTGTGTAAGATTCTCTTCTCTTCTCTATTTACATTTACACAGTTTTTAATCGGTAAAATTTGGGGAAAATTTTAAAAACCTAATTTTTGTTAAGAAACCAATTCACCCCTCTTAATTTTTGTCCGATCACGTGAACATTCCACTGCGCGATTCTAACAAAGTAGATTACATCATTTATGATACAAACAATAAGAGACTTCTTATTCAAATAATACAGTTCACTACAATATCATATAGAAAAATTACACATATATTAATAATTATGTACTATCAAAACTACACTAATTCATTACTATTCTTAAAACTTAAAAAAAATATAAAATCTTTAATTTTAAACTAAATCTCTAATTCTTTATTTTGAATTAAATTTTTAATTCTAAATTAAATTCTTAATCCCTAATTGTGTATTAATTGTAAGAAAAATAACTACGTTGATTAAAAAATCAATATATATCTCCTCGTATTTTGAAAAAATACACATCCATTTTATATTACATACTGTGCACTCATCCTCGTCAACTTATCATATAATAAAAATTCATATCATTCATCCTCACCAAACTTATTTATTCTTTTAGATAATCCATGATGTACGTGTTAACATATGAACATATAGTACTGAAAAGATGGTTAAAAAGAAAAACTTTATTTCTAAAGAGTCACGAAGAGATGCATAAGAAGTTAAAAAGGTAGTTGTGGTGGTGTAATAAATTGGTGAAGATGGATGGAGCCACCCATGTCCTTCACACTTTCAACATATGATGGTAATTACATGAAGTGTTTTAATATTTAACTTGTTCATTTTAAAATTTACAGAAAACCAACCTTAATTTTTAAAAATTACAACTATAAAATTTAACTACAAACTTCAAATTTATTCCTCTATTTTTAAATATTTATTTTTTAAATTATTTCTATATATCTACTTTTGTAACTTCAAATAATTGTTTTCAAATAAAAAAAAATTATTTTTTTCATATAAAATAATCTTGATCTCGTTGGATAATTTTTATATCTGAAATATTATTTATTTTAATGTATATAAAAAAATAAAAATATATAAATTATGATTGATCGGAATAAACAGTAGAATATACTGCAATATTATTAATTATAAATTTTTTAATTTATTTATTGTAGAAAAGTAATAAATTATGTTAAAATTGGATAGAGTATATTAAAATAATAAATATACTGATAAAAAATTAATAGATTTATTAAAAACTAGTAAAATTATTTTTGCTTATTAATTAAAAGGTTGAATATTTAAATAATAATAATAATAATAATAATAATATATTGAAGGGTGAATAAAAGTAGTTGATGAGTGTGACACGTGTTTGGTTCGTTGACACGTCCTTGCATGAATCAATGATTGGACATAATTCTTGATTTAACAGCGTAGTCCGTTTTGCGTGAATTCAGTGATAAATGAGTCGTACGTACCAACAACAACGACCTTCTGACTTGTTTTTCTTTTTTAGTTTAATTATATTTTTAATTCCTAAAATTTATCATAAATAATTTTATTTTTTAAAATTATAAAAATTTACTTAATCTCCTAATTTAATAAAATATAATTTGAATGTTTAAGTATTAAACTTAAAAGATTAATACTAATTTTAAAATAACAGTTCAAATCATTTAAATTTCTTAAAATAACTTTTTTCAGATTTAGAATTTAAATAAAACCTACTTTAAATTTCAGGCATTAAAACATAATTAAACTTCCTTGCACATGTTTAATTCTTATCATTTTCTTCATTCAAATCTAACTTTAATTTTATGCTAAATTTCTGTTCCTCTGAATTGGAATTATGTTATGTGGTGATTAAATTTTATTTAAATATTATTCAAGAAAAAACTAATTTTTCACTTATTTTTATTCATCCATACATGTTTTCCCCTTATTCTTATTAGACTACATAAATTTTAAAATATTTTTCATATATCTCTCATTTATTGTTACTCCACCTAACAATTAAACATTTAACTTTATTTTGTATCTATTTATTTTTCTAAATTTATTTCTTCTTATTTTCATTTTAAACATTTCTCTTTCCAAATAATTTTAGTCATAATTTTTAGATGCATTGATTAAGGATTTCATAAATTCATTCATCGAAGGTAAGAAATAAAACCTGAAATTAGAGAAACAAAAGAACTGCAATCATAAATTCATAGGTCACAACAGCCATATATAAATGTATAATAATTACAAATAATAATTACTGATAATAATGATTCATAGAAAAAGTAGTTCAAGTTACATAATAAATAATGCTAAAGTTGAAATTATAGAATTATATAATTAAAAGATAAAATATGTTTCTATCCATCTAAATTTTTGGAAGTTTAGTTTTAGTTCCTCTCTCTCTATATGTATAATTTTTTTTTCCAAGGTTAGTTTCTCTTATTTTGAAATTCATCATTTCTTTTATTTCAATCTTTATTTAACTTCTTTTTTCTGAACCTTTATAAATTAAAAAAATCTAAAAACTTATTTGACCTTCTTTAAAAATAATGAATTCGAGTTATTTTAAATTGGTTTAGGTTCTACATTATTAAATCCGATACCCAAATTGATGTCACTGGGTTTACAATTTAAAAATTCCGACTTGAATCGATGTTCTGAACTAACAACTCATGAATGCATTTTGTTTTTGGTTCTTCTCACCAAATTTGTCATGCTTCTCATACACTGATTAATTAATTGCAATATTTCCAATATGTTTAACATACTTTCTGGTATTGGTAGTTGAAAGTTTATACGGTTATATTTAGTTATACAAGTGAAAATGGTAAATATTTGCAACCTATATGAGGATTTTATGATACATGCGATTTAAATTTTATGGAACTGATTTTAAATCTTAATAATGATTTTATGATAAACTATATGATACCTCAATTTTTGTTTTTTAAGAACTAAAGAGAGGTAAATGGTGACTACTTTAACCTCTGATTAATAACTCATGTTTTGCACCATTTGGCAACATCAATGTGTATAAGTGGTTGAATAATAGTAAGGTATAGTATAATTATATATTAAAAATGTATACAATACATATATCATTATCAGTTGCAGCCAAACGTGGTGAGCACTTATGCTGCTGGTGGCGTAAAGAATCACATTTGTCTTTATTCAACAACAACTCCAGCCATAATAATCATATTAAAAAGAAAAAAAGAAAAAGAAAAGAGAAGCCTGTTGAAAGATGGCACAAGCTGATAAAACAATAGACAAAGGTTGCCTGGTTGAGTGATCAGCATCATGAAAGTAACAAGAGCAGACATATCTGCTTAATTTATCATTGCAAAAGGTAGTTTTTGATTCTTCTATTTACATATTACTTTGTGCCTGTGAGTACAAAGGGGAAATATGTGAACAACTAGAAACTATAACAATGATTTTAGCAGACTGCTCCTATTTCTTTCTTTTCTTTTTATCTCTAATCCGTGGTCTGGAGACAGATGAGGTCTCAGAAGAAAACTGAAGGGAATCAACATACGTCCCAAGCAGCCAGAAACACATACTTACACTTGTTTAGGGTTTAAAGCAAAACCACTTCTTCTGCCCCTAAAAATATACATAAATCATGTTTAGTAGTAGCTATTCAACTTCATTATACACAGCTATTTCTGTTATTGCAAAAAGAAACAACCACACAAACTCATTCTCATGATTTCCGTCTGATAGGAAAGTTTATTTTATCTGTTTTTATATGTTTCTGGTTCTAAATAGCATAACTCTTTTTGTTATTCATATGTGTACCTTGGCGGATTTATCATCTTCCTTGCGCGAATGGTTTCTTCGCTGTGATTGAACTCGTACGGATGCTCCTCCGCCAGTTTTTTTATCATCTCTGGCCTTGTTGAATATAACAGTGAACCCTTCAGCTGAGGCAGGATCGTTCACATCCCATTCCCCGAACTTTGGTAATGGCCTTCCTTCTTGTTCATACTGCACATGCAGAGATGAATGCTTACGTAAAAACATACAACGATTATTCACTGAAGTGGAAATTAAAAAGACCCTTTTGTTCATCATTAACCACAAAGAATTGCTGGAAACCTGGTACCTAGCTAAACGTCATTTCAGTTTTTTCTAATAAAACACAGAAAATGAAAAAAAAAAAAAAAAAAAACTTTTGCTCATCATTGACTGCAAAAGATTGCTGCAAACCTGGTACATAGCTAAACCTCGTTTCAGCTTTGTTTATGATAAAAAAGATGAAATAATAATACTAAAAATAATTCAATAGGCTAGACATGAATAGGCATTAACATGGTGGGAGGATCTTACAGAAGCCATTAAGAATTAATGAAGCTTTTATATATATTGGTGGTCACCCAAATTTCTGGGGAAAAGGAGCAGATAACAAAGATAAGAAAAAAGAAAAAAAAAATAAGAGAGGAGATTGAGAAGAATTACAATGGTTTCAAAAACAGGTTGTCATGTGCAGCATTTTATAAAGGGATAAGGAGTAGAAAGAGGAGCGCAAAACTCGTTTGTTGGGTCTTACCTTCCTGCGTGTTACACCCGTCCAAAACGCGGGTGATTAGCTTTTCTGTCTATTTTCCATTTTATTTTTAGGAGAATATTCCTTCAAAGGGTAACAAAAACCAAGCCAATGAGGCCATATTCCAAAAATGGGAGACAAATAAAGCAAAATTGGTAACAAGGTAGCCATGTAACTCCTTTCCCATCATTAAAAATTGCAGTTATCTATTCACGGTAATAATTACATAGCATGTTTTTAGAGGACTACAAAACAGATGTATATATAATATGTAATATACAAACATTAATTTTCCTTAAACAATGGAGAAGAATATTGCTTCCATTAGTTGTTGTATTTACAAACTTCCTTCTTGGATTGATCTCCAAGATTTCCGTACACTAATTCTTACATATATACATCATTCCGGGGGCAGGGAGGGTTAGATTATAGAGATCCGGGGACTTATCCATGAAGATGGCAATCACTCATTTAATTTCTGGTTTGGTGTATTTGATGTGTACCGCCATAAAAGTCCTCCGATCAGATTGTTTACTGCATGAGAAGCCATAGGAACCGCAACGCTAGAAGATAAAATTGTAGCATAGCCATATGCAAGACCAACAAAAGTTGCCCTAAAACACAAACAACAATCTTATCGTAATTTAATCAGAACTAACACTGAAATAATGGAAAAAAAATCGTGATTAACACAACACAGGGTCATCTGGAAGGATATAATTTATGAATCAAAATCGGTAAAACAATTTTGAAAAAATGGAGAGAAAGAAACAGAGGAGTGGGAGAAGGGGTGAAATTAGAAAAATATGCACCAGATGGCAAAGGAATACTTTCGACCATTGCCCAGGTGTAAAACACCAAAGATCAAGGCAGCAATCACAATACTATTCCAGTTCGTTCCCAAAAGTGGAAGAATTGCTCCTCGGAAAAGGAGTTCCTGGAATTTAAGTGGTAATATCTGATATCAGTCTAATGATGAAAAATAAACAAGAAAGATGAAATAAGCCAGGAAAATTAGCTCTCTTTTAACCTCACTAATACCAGGCAAGAATGCAACGACAATATAATCCAGAGGCTGAAGTGAGCTAAGGACCTGATTCAGAAAACAAAATATTTCCAGAACTCAGACAAAGAATCAGTTTATCTAATACAGACTCAAACACAAAAATGTCAAAAGCAACATACTTGCAAAAAAAGTTATCTCGGGAAGAAATGATTTCTAGTCAGATGAACAACTTTTCACTCAACTTACTATGATCCTCTATAGAATATTCACGTCTTAAATTGCAATCCACCAACAACAAACCAAGCTACAAAATATTACAGAACATTTCCAGAGCCACAACTTGATTCAATTACCAGCTGATTGGCTGCTTCGCTAGATTCTGCAAAATTTGGCCATGTCTTCAATAGCAAATAGCGAGATGATGATATTAACACTACAAGTCCTGTAATCAACTCAAGATGCCACAATTCAAAACCAACTGCAGAAGGGAGAAAAAAATTCTTATGATACTCCAAACATAATAACTTTACACATTTATATTTGCTTCATGAAAATCAATAAAACCAATTAAAAAAGTTAATGCCACTTTTTCTAATTAGTTTTAAACAGAAAATATTTTAATATTAATAAAATCACTTTTTATTTTATAAAGAATAATTTTGGACAGAGTAATATTTAAGTATTATAGTTTTACTTTTGAATATGATATTTTTACTTTTGATAATTATAAAAAAATTATTTTATTCTTTTATATTTTAAAAATACATATTTAATCCCTCAAATTTACTATTTGAAACTAAAACGGTTTTGAAAAAGTCATTTTAGTTTTTAAAATTTAATGTTTAGAAATTAAAAGTATTTTTCAAAATTTGGAAGAATAAAATAATTTTTTTGAAGTTGAAAAAACTAAAACTAAATTCATTCCAAATTTTAGGGACAAAACATAATTCTTATTAATGTTAATTTTTTTATGAACCCATTGTTATATATATATATATATATATATATATATATATATATATATGTATGTATGTCAGTCTGTCTATCTATTAGATTATATGAGATTCAAGTTTTACAATATATTTTATCCCCCGTCCTATGATTTCGCCCTCACTCTCCTGTAATTCTGGTTCTCCCCGCACATTAGCCTTGCTCCAAATACGCACTAAAGACTGTACTTTCATGTCTTTTGTTGAAAAAAATCCAAATTTATCTACCCCTAGGCTTATTAATTTCTACCCAAAATGTCAATCCAGCATTATCATATGCGTTCAAGTATTGACAAATGTTAGCACTGATCTACAGTAAAATCACATTTCTCTAACGAGAACAATTATTTGAAGCAATTAAGAGTTCCAAAATAGTTATTGATATCGATATCATTTAATGACTAATTTCCAATGAAAAAGAATCCATGTAAGTTTGAACCACAAGTAATAGTAAAAACTAAGAAATAAAAATAGATGAATATGAGTGTAATACACGATACTTCTGTAGAGCAGTCCAAGACTGGCAATCCTTCCACAAAGGCGACATGAGACACCTGCAAGTAGCAAAAACAAAATGAACATGATACCATGTGTTGTGAGAATTTCTGCATCTAACAATATCAAGTCAAATTGTGATAAACTTAAGTCTCCTTTCTTGAAGGAAAAAAAAAACTGTCTACAATTAAGAATTTGGTTCTTGAATAGAACTTTCAATCTCAAGTTAATTTCTCCCAAGTAATGTGGTATAAAAAGAAAATAACGATCACACAGAAATATACCCTTCATAATGGTTAAAAAACATAAATAAGTTTCATATGAAATCCTGTTTATATCATTAAGATAGACAACGAAGTTGGAAACATGCAAGTGCAGCAAAGGGGGAAACTGATGTAGCAAAGCATAAAAGGAAGAGAACCTGCCGAATCACTAATCCCAAAGCAGCAATGAGACCAGAAGTTATTATGCAAGCCTGAAGTACTGCACTCCTTGAAGGTAAAGGGTTAGAATTCTGGGAAGCTGCATTAAGAGAAGTGCCCAAGTTGCCATTTTTAACAAATTTATCCTCCAAGATATCTCCAGATGACTCTGGTCCATCTATGCTGAATTTCTTCAATGATTTCTTGGCAAAAGAGCATGTGCTATATCTACTCCCTACAGAAGAGAGAAGAAAAACACTCTAAAAACAATCATCCAAAAAGTTTCAGCTATTAGGTGACGGCTCATGATGTCTTAATTACATCTCTATCAAACCCCCTCACCCAACACTCCTTTGGACATGGAGCTTGAATTATAATTATTTCTTCTGTGTGTAATGGCTGAAATGAAGAGAGAACCTAATACTTCATACATAGTATCCAAACCCTCCATTCTTATTGGTTAAATTCCATTTCGTGAAAAATCAAACAAAAATTACTCACACTAAATACCACTGTTGATGAAGCATAAAACCCACCTATCTCATGCTTAAATTCAACTTTTTTATGAGAAGAATGGGGGAAGGATTATTGAACTCTAAACTATTTAGTAACAAAGGCACGTGAATAGTTCCATATTTGATCTCTAAGTCTAACTACCTCAAAAACCACGTCATAAACCAACTACCTCAAAAAGCTAAGCAAATTGATGAAGACAGTGAATTGTTCTACATATCAAGCATGTTTGGACAAGCTAACCCTAAACATTTTTAGAAAAAAAAAAAAAGTAAAAGTTTTGGTAACTTAAAATTAGTTTATACATATAAACTTATTAAATTTTTATTTTTAACTTATACATAGACTAATTTATCATAAAAAAGTTTATTTTATTTGTTTCTTAATCATTTTCTCTCCTCTTCACCCTTTAACAAAACATAGTTGGCAAGTTTTCCGAAGCTGCTGAAACTTTTACAGATAAAAACTCCACATGGGATGATGTTCGGCCTTTATTTAACGTATTGCGAATAAATGGAACTCGACGCGTGAGCCCCATCACGGTTAGTTCCTTTTAGGTAAACTAATCACAGTCCAAATTAAATTTAATAATGAATTTAGTTTCAAATTATTGGGCTTTCTCTTCATCTATTCCATTTACCAATTTGGGTAAACAGAAACACATCGATGAAACAACGAAAGAAACAGAAATTCAATGAATAAGTAGAGAAGCAGTTGAGGAAGTTTGAGCTTACTGCGAGCAGGAGTGGTGAAGGAAGAAGAGAATGTTGTGTGGGGATGTTCGACGGTACTCGTACAGTTGAGAAGAGTGAGCGAAAGCGAAGCCATAAACAGTGTGAGGAGTGAGGGTAAGACCACAAGAATAGAAGCTTTTTCCCCAACGACTTTGATTTTGATCTTGAGATTTTCTTCAAATAAAATCTTAAATTTGAGGTTTGTGAATAAAATAAATAGACGCTACTTTTATTTCCTTATACTCGGTCGAAGATAATTTTTTTTTATTTTGAATATTTACAAGAAAAGACAGGACTAAAATTTTATTAATACAAAAAATAACAGTAAAATGTTTGAGTGACATAAACTAATTTATTAGTGGTAAAAGTAAATTAAAACATTACATATCTTTCTAAAGGTGTTTCATTATTTTTGACGTTGAGAAAAAGATTGAGTATTAAATAAAATTAAGTAAAGTAAAAAACTTTTATAAATAAATGACCAATTAAAGAGAGAAAAATAATTTAATTTGATATTAGTGACAAGTAATTGCCTAGTGAGAATGACAGTGACATGTAAGTATTCATAAAAATAGAAAGATGGATTGTATTCCTAAAGTCCAAACATTTACTAAATACAATTTAACAGCTTATCAGATAAAATAACACTTTAATCATGTAACAATAAAGAAGGTAAAAAAAAAAAACAATAGAAGCACAAAGTCCATGCCTTCTTTGAGCACAGGATTGACTGCTATCAAACCTCAAACAGTGTGGATCTAGCATTAACTTCTCAAGATCAAGCTACACACAACATGCAAACTTTTCCAGATGCATACAAGAGTTTGCAGTATTGAAGCAGAACCATCCGTGAAAAAGGTGTGTATATTTGAAAATTATGACTTGTCTAATGGAGTTATATCAACTTAAAACATTACATACATGCAGTTGACTTGTCTGAGACTGCTATGGAGCATGTCATGCTAAGAATTTAGAGTAAGGGCGACAACATGCGAGGGTAATGATGGTCAGAGAATTTCCAAATTCTCAGTTTTGGTGTTATTTGAAATTCTCTAATTTTACTTTCATAAAAGTTCCTTATAAAATCTCCATTATTTTAAAAATTCTTTGAATTTGATACCAATAATATATTTTCATACTTGCATTTTGAAAACCTTTAAAATTTGAATTACACTCCCAAGACTCCTTATTCAAACACACTGTAATAGAACCAAAGACGAATATACAAGAACATAGAATCTAAAACAATAAGAGCATCATTGATAAGAAAAAATTATGTTTTATTATTTTTCTGTATCTCATAGTTTACAACAATGCCTTCTTTGGCCAGATAGTATTCCAAATTATCTAAAAGATACATCAAACTAAACCATACAGAACCTGCATGGATCCACAAAAATGCTTTCACATAATTTTGTTTCTATTTTTCCGAAGAAGTAAAAGAAAAATAAGTGTAACGGCTAGAATGAGGTATATAACCTATCCTATTGAAGATGTATCACTACCATAGGTATTATATGCTGCAGGAAAGCTAATATACATAAAAATTACAAAACAACATATGTCAAAAAACAAAATAGATTGACAAGTGACTCCCATTTCACCTCCGACAACACCTCATAACTAATAAAGAAGATGCCAGCTCGCAGATCAAACGAGAAATTTGCAAAAATTGGGGTAACTGTCTATAGAATAGACAACGCAATTTTATATGTTCAAAGGTTCTAACTGGACGTCCATTCTCGCAGAAGGTCGTAACTCTTTATCTGCATTTGTTATGGTTGGGCTCAAGAGATCAACTGAATCATCTTCCTCAAGATTACCAAACACCCAATTGTTTCTTGCAGATATCTGCTTCTTCATTCGCTGCCTTTCTTGGTATTCTAAATAACTAACAATCAAAGCACCCATTAAGAACCAAATTGCCATAGCCAAACTGAGTCCATGGATATTGTCCACACTATATCTGTCTCCTAGATGCTTCATCCCAGTAAAAAGTGCAGCAATGCCAACAACAATGGCACATCTACCAACAATTGCGTGGAAATATTCCCAAATAACCCTCGTGAAGGGTGCCTGCTCCCCAATTGCTGGTTTTTGAGGCCTTAGGAAAGCATTTACTGGCTGTGTACAAGCCAAAAAGATAGTAGCTAAACCAAATTTAACATGTGTTGAGCGGACATAAAACCCCCCAAGCTCAGCAACGGCAAAAAGAAGGGCAAGTAAAACAATTATTAACCCTGAGTATTGCAAGTAAACATGAATCCGGTACCATCCATCACCCTTAAGATGTTTTAAGTATCTGGCGGCCAATATCCCTCCAGGAAACAGGATACCCCATGCAACAAACATCATAAATCCATGCACAGCCAAAACAGGAAGCAAATCTTGTTCTGCTTCTGCTGACCCAAGCATCAGGTGTACAAGGATAGCCCTATTACTTGTACTAGAATGCATATTCCTGTCAGTAAGATGGCCATTGGCCCATTTAGCACCCATTGCCCAAACAACTTTAAGTGGAGTTGTGGGATCAATAATATTTTTACATTCTACCCTCTTCTCCCGCAGACAAGATGGGTCCAAGGGACGTGTAAACTCCCATGTAATAATGCCATTTTCTATTTTACACCTCACATGTGTCAAATTCTCATGTGTTCGATGTATGCTGGAAGCATCCTTTCCATCAATCCAATAACTATGTACATGTCCCATACCAATATCATCCATCCAACCTACATACACAAAGCTGTTCACCATTCCACTTCCAAATCCTACGGCAATATAGCCACTTTTTTTCTCTCCCCTTGCTGCAATAGATATGGAACCCTTTGACAATGTCCAAAGGAAGGTAACCTGTTGATCATCCAAATTGACACTGTTATTGTACATGTCTGATAGACCACCATCAACCACCTCAACCCTCCAACCCATTTTCTGATCATACAACGAATGATAGTAAATATGATCAGGAGTGTTCCTGTCCGGAGCCCAAATTAATTCTGTAGGACTGGCTTCAACTCCATGGGCCTCTGGACCACCAGCATAAATAGTTTCAGTCAGATTCCTAGTCGTGGCATTTCCACCAAGCGGATCTGAAGTAATATAAAGTGCAACATCATTCCCAGCTTGTATCGAGAACTTGACTGGCACACCTCTTTCCACTCTTAAGACAGGAGCTTCCTTTTTGTTGATGTAAAAAACCTTTGCAGGATTTGGAGGGTTGGGGTAATGCATTGCCGGAGCGGATGATACCACCAGTGGAACATTTGCATCTGCAATGATGATATCTTGATCTTCTTTGTCTTCAGCATCCAAGGGTCCCGTACAGTCATTAACGTGCTCCGAGATATTCAAAACCAAATGACCGTAATTGTCAGGCCCGTGATTCTGAGGAAGATAGTAAGGATTAATAGAATCAGGAGGCTTAATAGACCCCAAAGCCCAAATAACCTTCATATTTGCAGAATGATTCACAGGGCGATCAAAATTTCCATCAACTTTCGACAAATGCCACCGGTATCTAACAAAGGACACCCCATCCTTCCTATGCCCATAAACCAACATTGAACTATTTGCTAAACCCACCCCATCAGACCTTTCATAAACTGAATCAGGACAAACCCCTAGAGCAACCCCATTGTCATTTTTCGTACACTCACTATACTTCGTAATGAAAAAATTATCCACAAAGGGTAAACCATCTTCCTTCAACCCTGCAACAGCAACATCGCCACCAATCATAAGATCAGAATCTCCAGCCCTGGGGTCAGCCCACCCAAAAGCCATGAAATCGATGATCCCAATCACAGCCTCCAACCCAATTTCAAGGGAATCCTCGGACACATTCAAACTCCACCTCAACCTGAAATTCTCCGACAAAACCTTGCAATTCCCGAATACCGTCGGAGGTGGCTTCGCTGGGGCCTCCCTGCGAAGCACGACGTGTCCGAAATCGGAGGCAGTGGTGCGATCCCAGATGGCGAGGACGTTGATCATGTCCCAATTAACATTGTTCATCAAACGCACATCGAAAGTGGTGTTCTTGTAGGTTCCGTTCAATCCGGCGTCGGAAACAATGAATCCGTTGGTGAGGTTCTCGAAATCGAAAGCCTGCGCACCCCACCAGTACACGTCGGAACCGGGAAGCATGTCAAATTGGAAAACCCTGAAGGAGCAATCGTCCATGATTTTGAGGGATCCTCGGACCTGGTGCTGGACCATTTCGAATTCGAACTCCGAATCTACGACGGAGCTGTACCGAGTGCAATAGGGAGCGGGATCCGCATACCCGAATAACAACAACAAGTGGAAGAGGAAGGGTAGGAAGAGGGATCTGCGAATCATGAAGGTGCAATCCTTGCAGTGTGAGGCAAAATGTGTGGATTGGAATCCACGGCGGCGAAGTCTTGAGGATGGGGTGGTGGTGGTTTGTGTTCGTGCTATTGTTCTTCGAATTCTGAAGTCAATGATTGTTGAATTGTATCACTATCATCCAAGTTCATGGATCCTGACTCATACCTCACCGTTATGCACTTGTTTAGTGAGGGATCTACAAGGATTCATATTTCAAACTCTATAATCTTATGACTTGTTTATAGTAATGTTTTTTTTAGCAATGTTTATTCGATTTGATTTTTAAAATATGTTATTATACAAATTAGAAGTTAATTATACATGATTTGTGAGTTGATGCACACCATTGTTGTTTAGGATCTTGTTAACCACAAGGAGATTGGTTAAAGATTCTAAAACAATTGCAAACCAGTTTTCTAACATTAATGGTTAAGAAAATAAAATGGAAAATTTCTTCCAACTTATTTCTAAAAACAATTTTTTAAAATTGATTAACAAATAAAACTAAATCACACTATCCCTAATATTTCCGTCAAATTTCTCAAGGTGTCATTTCGATATTCCTAATCATCTTGAAAAGGTAAATTCCTTATACGATCTTCTAACTCTTTCTACTCCTAACATATAAAGATAACACCTAAAATACATGAAATAAATTGCTACGAGCCACTTATTGAATACTCCACCCCAATATTTTTTGATAGGCCTACCTTCTGGATTCAACACTTCATCATTAGTTTTCAAATCAATGTTCAGCATGTAGAAATTTAACCCATTAAAGTGTAATATCGTTATTTAATAATATTTAGCATACTTTTGATATATAAATTTATTTAATACTTTATTAAAAAAGTCTAGGTCAATATTTTGCTTAGAGACGCAATGTGCTGCACCTAACTAAAAAAGAGTAAAATGTGATTTATTTAGTTATGGGAATAAAAAAGGAAGTACATGTTTACACGAAGAATAATGTGTCTTTTATAAAAGATTAAAATTTAAGATTTAACCATTTATGATGCACTCCATACAAATGATAAATGAGAGACAAGTAAAAAGTTAAAATATAAATAGTTGAGATGAAACTATTTATCTGTTCTTATTTGCTTTAAAAAGGTTTTTTTTTTAATAAAATGTTTTCTTTAGTTTTATTATTGTTTGTCCTATTATTTTAAAATATACTTTTTAATGCATTCAATAAAAATAAATCCTATTTCTTTTCAAGTAATTAAAAAAAAAACTTATTTTTGAGGATCATCCATCCTAGTTTTTTAACCTAATTGAATAGAATAAAATAATGAGAATAGAAATGAGGAACCAAAGTAAACCCACGACTACGGACAACTGCGTCAGATCCATTCTATGAGCTGACAGTGATACGATACAATACAACAAACACCATTTTCACTCCTCAAACACAAGAAAAACGTTCTTCATTTCTCCACTGGAACAATAACACAAACGTCTCGTCTACGTTAACCCTTCCGCGGCGCTTGCACAAACCACTCACAACCGCCTCCTGCACTGTTCGTCACCGTGGATTCCGATCCACACAAATTGCGTGACAGTGCAACAATTGCACCCCTCATGCTTCGCAGATCCCTCTTCCTTCCCTTACTATTGCACTTGTTGTTGTTGTTTTCGTTCGGGTATGCGGATCCCGCTCCGAATTGCACTCGGGACAGCCCCGTCGTCGATTCGGAATCCCAGTTCGAGATGGTTCAACACCAGCTTCGAGGATCTCTCAAAATCAGAGACGATTGTTCCTTTAGGGTTTCCCAATTTGACATGCTTCCCGGTTCCGACGTCCACTGGTGGGGTGCGCAGGATTCCGATTTCGATAATCTCACCGCCGGATTCATTGTTTCCAACGACGGATTGAACGACACCTACAAGAACTCTACCTTCGATGTGCATTTGCTGAGCAATGTTTCGTGGGGCATGATCAACGTCCTCGCCGTCTGGGATCGCGCCGGCGCATCCGATTACGGCCACGTCGTGCTTCGCAGGGAGGAACCGGCGAAGCCTCCTCCGACGGTGTTCCAGAATTGCAAGGTTTTGTCGAAGAATTTCAGGTTGAGGTGGAGTTTGAACGTGTCCGGTGATTCTCTTGAAATTGGGTTGGAGGCTGTGACTAGGATCACCGATTACATGGCTTTTGGGTGGGCTGACCCTCGCGCTGAAGATTCTGATCTCATGATTGGTGCCGATGTTGCCATCGGAGGGTTTAAGGAAGATGGTGTACCCTTTGTGGATAATTTTTTCATTACGAAGTATAGTGAGTGTGTCAAAAATGATGACGGAGTTGCTGTAGGGGTTTGTCCTGATTCAGTTTATGACGGGCCTGAAGGGGTGGGTTTAGCAAACAGTTCAATGTTGGTTTATGGGCATAGGAAGGATGGGGTGTCCTTTGTTAGATACCGATGGCATTTGACTAAAGTTACTGGAAATTATGATCGCCCTGTGAATCATTCAGCAAATATGAAGGTTATTTGGGCTCTGGGGCCTATTAAGCCTCCTGATACTATTAATCCTTACTATCTTCCTCAGAATCACGGGGCTGAGAATTACGGTCATTTGGTTTTGAATGTCTCGGAGCCTGTTAATGACTGTACTGGACCCTTGGATGCTGAAGACAAAGAAGATCAAGGTGTCATCATTGCAGATGCTAATGTTCCGCTGGTGGTATCTTCTGCTCCGGCAATGCATTACCCCAACCCTCCAAATCCTGCAAAGGTGCTTTACATCAACAAAAAGGAAGCTCCCGTCTTGAGAGTGGAAAGAGGGGTGCCAGTCAAGTTTTCAATCCAAGCCGGGCACGATGTTGCACTTTATATTACTTCAGATCCGCTTGGTGGAAATGCAACCACGAGGAATAAAACTGAGACTATTTATGCTGGTGGTCCAGAGGCCCATGGAGTTCAAGCCAGTCCTACAGAATTAGTTTGGGCTCCTGACAGGAACACTCCTGATAACATCTACTACCATTCGTTGTATGATCAGAAAATGGGTTGGAGGGTTGAGGTGGTTGATGGGGGTCTATCAGATATGTATAATAACAGTGTCGTCTTGGATGATCAACAGGTTACCTTCTTTTGGTCATTGTCAAAGGATTCCATATCTATTGCAGCTCGTGGCGAGAAAAAAAGTGGTTATCTGGCCATAGGATTTGGAAGCGGAATGTTGAACAGCTATGCGTATGTGGGTTGGATGGATGATACTGGTATGGGACATGTAAATAGTTATTGGATTGATGGAAATGATGCTTCAAGCATACATCGAACACAGGAGAATTTGACACATGTGAGGTGTAAAACAGAAAATGGCATTATTACATGGGAGTTTACACGTCCCTTGGACCCATCTTGTAGGCGAGAAAAGAGGGTAGAATGTAAAAATATTATTGATCCCACTACTCCAATCAAAGTTGTTTGGGCAATGGGTACCAAATGGACTAATGGTCATCTTACTGAGAGGAATATGCATTCTAGTACAAGTAATAGGCCAATCCGTGTTCACCTGTTGCGTGGGTCAGCAGAAGCAGAGCAGGATTTACTTCCGGTTTTAGCTGTGCATGGATTTATGATGTTTGTTGCATGGGGTATCCTGTTTCCTGGAGGGATATTGGCAGCCAGATACTTAAAACATCTTAAGGGTGACGGATGGTACCGGATTCATGTTTACTTGCAATACTCAGGGTTAGTAATTGTTCTACTTGCTCTTCTTTTTGCTGTGGCTGAGCTTAGGGGATTTTATGTCAGCTCAACACATGTTAAATTTGGATTTATTACTATATTGTTGGCTTGTATACAGCCAGTAAACGCTTTCCTAAGGCCTCAAAAACCAGCAAATGGGGAGCAGGCACCCTTCAAAAGGGTTATTTGGGAATATTTCCATGCAATTGTTGGTAGATGTGCCATTGTTGTTGGCATTGCTGCACTTTTTACTGGGTTGAAGCATCTAGGAGTCAGATATGATGTGGAAAATGTCCATGGACTCCGTTGGGCTATGGCAATTTGGTTCTTAATTGGTGTGTTGATTGTTATTTATTTGGAATACCACGAAAGGCAGCGAATAAGGCGGCAGACATTTGAAAGAAGCAATTGGGTGCTTGATAATTCTGAGGAAGATGATTCACTTGATCTCTTGAGTCCATCCAGAATAACTGCAGATAAAGAGTTAGTACCATCTGTGAGAATGGAAGTTCAGCTAGAACCTTTGAACAGATAAAATTGCATTCTTTTAGTTCTGATAGAAAGTTGCCAGTCTAGCCCAATTTTTGCAAATTTTGGATTCAGGATGTGAGCGGGCATTCTTCTTTGTTAGTTATGAGGCGTTTCTGAGGTGAAAAGGGAGGCAATTACTTATCAATATCTTTTTTATAACAGTTGCTTTCTAATTTCTATGATGCGTATTTTTCCTGCAGCATATATTTCCTATAGTGATACAGCTTCAACAGAATAGACTATATTGATTCTTCTCCATCGGCTACACTATTTCTTTTACTACTTCATCCCCAAGTAGAAGAAAAGGTCAAAGCTTTCTTGTTGATCCCTGTAGGTTCTGTATGGTTAGTTTGACAGTATCATAATAGATGATTTCAAACATGGAATGCTAGCTGGCTAAAGGCATTGTTGTAAATTATGAGATGCAGAAAGTTAATACATCATTTTTTGTTGTCCATAATGCTGTATGGTTTTAGATTCTCTGTCATTGCATATTTCATTTTTTGTTCTCTTAATCCCTCCATGAACCTTCCTAGTAATATTAATTTCAACTATAAATGATTTAGAGTTTAGATGCCTTTATCGTTTGGAAATGGTTAACGTACCAGTTGAAATTATTGCAATCCCAGCAGTTACGAGAAGCATCTTATGCAATCATTCAATGTTTACCATATCACGTGTGGTGATTTAATCATTGTATTGGACTTCATTATTGTGATTTGGTGTGATGGAAATTAGACACCTATTGGGATAAGACTTTGTTGTTTTTGAATATGTTAGAGCTGTTAGAGTTTTCCTTTAAAACTTTAACTAGTCTTTGATAGGTTTAGCCTTTGCTATTGTTACACTTTTCTGCTTCTAATTTTTCTGTTTCAGTAAAGCTATTGTGAGGCAAGTCACAGTGGAAGGGTAAAGTTGAGACTTGGTGACCTGTTGGTTACTAATTCAAATCCGGAAAAAGTGTCTTAGCATGTGCAAGGGTAAGATTGCATACAATGACCCTCCATCATGCCTTTAGATTGCGAGAAATCTTCTAAGGTACCGTGATACATTAGTTTTGAGGTAGCTATTGTAATCTCAATAAAATCTCATGCCAGTTGGCAAATTTCAAAATGGTCTAAACCCTATAGATAAGCATGCTCATTTATGAAATACTGTATCCTTTCTTCAACATTTATCTTTGCTGGTTCCAGTATTTTGGTTTTTTTCAAATCTGATATTTAACTGTGGTATCAAGAGCCGGCTTCCTTGGTATATTGAGGCAAAGAAGTTGAGCGCAAATACTGCGAGGTTGAAAAATTTATTTTTCATGCATCCGGGTAAAAAATATGTCTACTTCTACCAATTCATCTATAATTCCATTGTTTAGAGGTAAAAAATACACATTTGGAATCATGCAACCAGAAGGCTGAGGTTGCTGTCCAAGAACAAGGAACTATAAAACTACACATTTTATAGTTTGAAACAAGCAGAATTGACTCTTAATCTAACTTGGATTTAGGAGTGAAAATGAAACTAGGTACTTGAAACAAAATGTCGTTGATAACTTCTACACTTTATGTCGTTGACATAATTGTGATAGGAACTAATTTACTTTTGCTAGCCAAGTACAAAATGGAAAGGCAATATTTATTTGAGATGACAATTGAAATGGAAGTATTCCAATGTCGCTCAGATATATTTATTTCAGAAAGAAAAGATGTTCATAATCTCAAGTGTAGTTCAGAATCATGCAAAGAAATAACGACTTTGCTAGTACAAAAATGAGAAAATTTATAAAAACTTCTGCTAATAGAAGCTTGGCAGGGAACTTACAATTCTTGATAACAACTAGACTTATGTTAACAATTTTTGGAATCTAGTAGACAGGAATTGTAAAGCTAAATAGCTTTGTTGACCGTGAGGGGAAAGGAAGGGTAAGATGACACGAAAGAGCAATTGAAGCTATGGTTAAAATTGGTTCATGTGTTACTTTCTGGAATGCAATATGTGCATGTAGTGGCACCCAATTAATTGCTAGAGTAGAGTATGTCTTGTAATGACAATCTTTTCTATTAAGACTTGTAAAAGAGAAAAATATTAAATGATTTGTTTTCTAAAAATAAAATTAGTTTATGTAGAAGCTAATTTATAAAAGGTGATATCTAGGACTGAACGAAAAAAATGATGAAGTCCTAGCCAATCGTGGTTAGCACGAGAGCCTTGTATGGAAGACCCAAGTATTATGCGTGAGTGAGGGGCAGGGTTTGTTGATTGTAATGGTTGGGCATGGTGGTTCTTGATGAGGTAAGGTAGATGAGGGGGTTCTTGGTTGTCCATTGTTTCCAGCATTTGCGCAGAAACTTGGTGCAATGGGTATGCCTACATGGGGAGGAGTAACGTGGGTCAGTAGATGTTACTGCAGGCGTTTGGTCAATTGGGTTTTGCCAACTTCTGATGTTTTGTGGGGTTGTAGTCATGGATGGGGTCTGCATGGTGAGGTGGGATGGTGTTATGTGGAGGATGCATAGGTAGTGCATGGGATATGGTTTTAGTGTCTTGCAATGCAGATTGGTTGCACTGTTGCGACCGAAGTGTGTGGGGTCCTGGTGGTATCTTGTTTTGTTGCATGGTGGCACTGGGAGGGTATGGTTTGCATGAAAATAGGGAGTGGTTTTCTGGTTTAACTCTGCAAAGTGGGGCCATGTAGTTATGATGATTTACGTTGTGATTTTTTCTGTATGTGTGCTATTATATTTTGAGGGAGTATGGTTATGGATAGGTTTGGGATTTTCTTTAGGCCTTTTAGGCCCAGGTCTTACGAGTTGGGCGTGGGTCATGCACGGTTATGTATTTTTTCTTTTTTCAGGATCGAGTGATAGCATATGATGAGCAATCAAATATGAAAGAGCCCATAGTTCCATAAAAAAAAAAAACTCTACGAGCCAATTGAACATTGAAGATAAATAAAAATCTTTGAAGTTTCTTTACTAAATATATCTCGTCGTTAACATTCTTAATGAAGAATTGCTTACTAAACTTTTTCATGATTTTAGGTAGGAATTGGGATTCGCTAGCTAATCAATTATTGAACTAAACGTGCTTGTTTTCTTAACAATAGCTTTTAATCATGCATTCATAAATCACTATTCTGAGTCAGTTTTAACAAGGACAGAGTCGTTGACATTATTGCATTTAATCTTTTATAAAACGTTGACACTTTATATGTTTAAAGTATTGACAAACTTATACTTTTATGAATATTTATAATTCATCTATTGAAAATTTACATTAAAACAAATCAATTTATATCTGTTGAATTATTACTTAAATGGTATCAATTTGTTATTTTTATGAATATAATTAATTACACATTAAGGAGTTGTGAACGTGTATTATGTAAAGTTGGTAGACCATCATAACAATATCATGTGATTCAATAATTGAATTGATAAATGTTGTGAATTATAAGAATATTATTAACGGTATTAATTTATGAAAACTTACGAAATGTTTAGGACAACAGAACGTAAAATCCATATTATAAAATGAACGAGTGCACGATTCTTGTCCCGCTTTCTGATGCAATTCAACGTAGAAGAGATAACGATCATTGTTTTGTTTTTGTGCAAGTATTTTACTACAAAATGTCAGAATGATAAATTGAAAGTGGAAAGGAGAAAACAGATTTGAGCGAATTTCAACCATTGGGTTTTGTATGAGTGGAGAAAAGGGGGAAAAGAGAATTAAAATGAGATTTTGATACGAAAACAAAGAACTTCAATGCACACATCATCAACAACTCGTAAATCATGCTGCGACATGTTTAAACATATCCTATTCAACTCTTCCTATTCTTTAGGTCACTCCAACATTATACTCAACATTCTCTCTACTACTAAGATGCATATATTATGCTCTAATAAACATTAACCAACTTTTCATTTCACATTTCTTTATTTCTTCATTTATTTATTTATTTACTTACTTATTTCTATGCACGTTTCTTTACGCTGTTTTTCCTTTGTTCCCTACGTAGAGGCAGAAACAAGTAAAAAACTAGATTCTAATTACGTACTACTCTTCAATTAGGTCAATGATGAGTTGTAAACTTGACCTTTTTCTCTCACTTTGCGTTTCAAAAGCTTTTAGTTTAATGCATGATACATTTTCAAAATAAATGGCCATAATTACATTTATCTAGGTTAACCAAATCCGATTTTTGCAGAATATTAAATTGAGGTTGGAATGAATACCGTAATAATAATAGTAATCTTCTTTTGAGCGCAGCAGAGTGTGTGATAGAGAAGGAGGAAAAGATATGAAGCAACGAATCTTCTTCATATAGAAATGTCCAACCATTTTTCCACAGTGTCTCCTGTAAGCTTTCTATAAGAGGAAACAGAGAACCAAGTTGAGCTTTCAAAAGTAATAATCAAAATAGGATGGTCCGTTTCGCACCGTATTCTTTTTTTTTTCCTAAAAGTAAAAATCAAACGACGCCGTCTGATGTAGTTTATGGTGGTTGCTGTTGCTGTTACCCTTCACAGGGTGCAGCGACGTCGTTTTGGTCCTTCTCGAGCCAGGCACTTGGGGCGGCGTCTGCATGCGAATCAGCGCCAAGTTAAGACCTTTGAAGAACGGGTGCTTCTTGACGTCAGCGGCACCGCGCTTCGACCCGAGCCGACGCGCAGGGTCTTTGTTCAGCAAACCGGATATCAAGTCCCGCGCGTGGCCTTCAAGACCGCTCGCGGGCGTGGCCGTGGGGAACGCGAGGGGTTTTTTCACGATGTTCCGCAGCGTAGTCTCCTTCGATGGACCCGCATACGGCGTGCGACCGTATATCAGCTCGTAGATAAATACTCCAAAGGACCACCAGTCCACGGCGTTCCCGTGCGACCTCCCGGCGGCAACCTCCGGCGACACGTACTCGTGCGTTCCGACGAAGGAACAGGAGCGGGCCGAAACCGGTTCGGCCACGAAGAGCCGGTTGGGTTCCACGGTTCGGATGTCACGAGACCGGAAAGCCCGGTTCGAGAAGCAGGAGAACGGACTGGCAAAAGAATGCGAACGAGTGGGAGTTGGATGGTGATTGGGAGGAGTGTATGCATAAGGCAATGCATTTGGAGATGGATGGTGCAAGGAATCTGAGCATTCCACGGCTGGGATTGCATCCGAGCAAAGAGAGAGATCGAAATCAGAAAGCATGATGTGACCGTCTGATCTGACCAACACGTTTTCGGGCTTCAAATCTCTGTATATGATCCCCAGCATGTGTAGGTATTCCAACGCCACCAGCACCTCTGCGGCATAAAATCTGAGACAGAGAGTTGAGTTGAGAGGGTTTTCAACAAAAAAGAGAGAAACGTCATCGTTTCGGATAACGGTTTTTCATTTTTTACCTGGCGGAGGAGAGAGGAAAACGATTGTGAGGATGCTTGAAGCGCAGCGTGTGAAGGTCTCCACCGGAGCAAAACTCCATCACGATGCAAGAGAAATGAGAGGCTTCGAACTCCGCGTAGAGCGTAGGAAGGAACGGGTGGTCCAGCATCTTCAGGATTTTTCTCTCCATTTCCGCTCTCTGCGACTTCTTCTTCAGTGCCACTGCGTCTTTGTCCACCACCTTCATCGCGTACAAACAGCACCCGTCATCTTCCTCGTCTTCTTCGGGGCTGTTGAATTGGCCGTGGCGGAGGCGGCAGAGGTAGACGGTGCCGATGTCGCCGGCGCCGATGCGGCGGAGGAGGTGGAAGTCACGGAAGGTGAGGGCAGCCTTACGACGGAAGGTGGCGGAGCGGATGGCGGAGTAGGCAAAGTCGGAGGAGCGGTGAGGCTTGAGGGAGAGAGTCTCCGGCGAGGGCGGGAGGAGATCGAAGGAGAGACGGCTGAAACTGGTGCTGCAAATGCTCTCGCTGCTCATGGAGCTTCCAAGCAAGGAAGAATTGACAGTCTCGAAACTGGCCTCGGAATGACGTTCACCACCACCACACTCTACCATGGTAGTAGTTGAACAGGAAAGAGAAAGAGAAAGAAGGTTGGAAATTGAAACGGTAACTGTAGAATGAATGAAAGTATAGGGAGTGGTGCAGTGCGGATAGGCTTTGCGAAAAATGTTAGGGTTTAGCGATCGAGCGAGGGAGAGCACAAAAACATTGAAAGAACAATAAAAGTTGTGGATGGTAGGCTTTGAGAGCAATAAGAGGAGAGGAGAGGAAGAACGGGTTGGGCCAGAAATAGAGAGAGGAAGCGATACAGGAGAAGGTAGTTGCGTTGTATTTATGCTGTGAAGACGTACAAAGGAGGTGAGTTAACATAGCAGGGCACGTGCGAGGGGGGTGTTTGGGCACGTGCGGAGTGTTGGTGTTTGTGAGGATGATGACGAATTGAGGAGCGGAGGAGGAGGGGTTGTGACGTGGCAAGGATTTGTTTGGAGCATTGTTTAAGCTTTGACAAGTTACTGAGCAATCACTAATGAGCGTGTGGTGGTGCAGTGTGGACGGGGAAGCTTTTTGCTGCTCCACTGTTTTTACAGTCATTCCTGCAATTACCCAAACACCCCTCTCTCTCTTCATCCAGCCATGCAACGGTCAACCCTATTTATGACCAAACACAGAACACCCTGTTCCGTCAACGTCGCTTCCCTTATCCTTCACCTTATATATGCTTTTTCCCATTAATTAATTAATTAATAATGTTTTATTTCAATTTCTTAACCCTCATTTCCACTATATATATTCAAATATACTGTATAAGAAGAAGGCATGCAACTAAAAAAAGAAAAAACTGTGAAAAGAAGAGAAATGTGGGGTTGGAATGAAAAAAACTTGGGGCGTAAAAGAGAGTCACTTCAAATGAAAAGAAAGGTGAAAGAATGACCATATAATGCCTGTAGATGCAGACACGGTGAATGATGATAATGTTTACGCAAATATGCAATATTTTTTAATCCTAATTCTCCACAAACTCGTCTTGCTCAAAATAATACATGCCATGTTTTCAATTCACAAACTTGTTGACGTGACTATTGTATGACCCCTTTTGTGAAGTTACTGCATGGCATTGGCATGGGAATCTTCTTATGCGAGAATAGCCTCTGTCGGAAACTGACTCTACCCTTACATCCCAACCAAAATTCTTCCTCCTACATTTCTTTTCACAAGTAACTCTGTATAATTGGTCACTCTGTTCAATATCAACATTGCTACGCCCAATTTAAATTAGTATATTTTATATTACATGTCATTTGCTAACCTTCATCAAAAGAAATATTAACAAATCATACAAAAATCTCCACAATAGATAACTTAACATCTTAAATAATAAGCGAGGTTGTATTGTATCCTTCTATATACAATATTTCCTAGTTTATTAAATGAACCATCTTGGATTTTTCTCCTACAAACTTAAAGAAGAAAATAAGAATTGCGAGTTTTATTTATTTCAATCAAGATTCTTATTCTATGTATCTAAGTGAAGAAAAGGGACAAAGGATCTAAGAATAATCCATCAAGAGGTATTCGCATATGCTGGTGACCTGGAGCGAACAAAATTGTTGAATCACCTTCTAAAGAACATGGGATCATTTCCAAATTTACTTACTTCGTATTTTTTATTTTTTTTATTTAAAGGTGGATTTGAGGGGTGAAAAAAAAAAGAGAATAAAAATTAAATTATTTAAATTAAAAAAATAACTACATAATTAAATATGCTATATGTTGGTAATGCTTTATAAAATAAATACAATTTGAGAAGAATAAAACTCCATACCATTTTTCTTTGTTCATTTATAAGTAAATAATTTATCTTTCTATTTTCTTATTATTATTATTTCTATTCTTATTTCTCACTTCTGTTTTTTTATATAAAGAATTTATAGTTGTGTTCTCACTAAGATAAAAAATTACTTCACATAACTAAAAAAGTAAGTAACACCATTGAACATTACCAATATATAAAGAAGTTCTTCCTTTATTAATTTTTAATCGCCTTTCGAGGCTGTTTCGCAAAAATAATAAGTATAATCATTTTTCTTGATTTTGATAAAATAATTGTATAATTTAGAATAAAAAGTAATTAGTATAACATATAAATTTTGCAAATAACAAGCAGATAAAAGATAAAAAACATACTGTGCTTAACAAAATATATTAAATATGAAAATATAGTTTAAAAAAACATTATTAAACAAGATAAAAACTATTAAAAATTGTATTTATTTTTTTTGAACAGATATTTTGACGTTGTAAAATAATAAGAAGGAGTTTGTGTGAAAAACCAAGATTGAGAAGTGGTGTAATCATTTGACGTGACGTGAAAATGATGTAAGAGGTAAAAAACAAAAAAGTGTAACGATGAGAGTTAATTTTATAGAACAAAAAATGCAAAGCAGTACCTGCATGAACGTATTCTGTATAGACGGTAGGGAGCAGCGGAACTAATAATGCCAATTTAATGCTCGCCTTCACCCTCTTTTACCGCTACTTTACTTTATTTTAATGTAAAAAATATATTATAAAATATTCGTGTTCTCTCACCATATTTCCATCTCGAAAAAATATAAAAAACGCTACTTTTAATTTTTGTTTGTTATTTATTAAGAATAAGTTTTTGCGAAGATAATCGTAGTGGTTTGTGAGAATTGTCCCCAGAGAGAAGTGAAGAGGAACAGGGAGAGTGAAAAATTGCGGTCCATGCATGCAGTGCAGTGGATGGGATATAACATAATGGGGTCCCGAGAGACGAGAATAATTTGTATTATTTGATGCTGGTTGAAGTAGAAGATTTATTTTGAGAAGAAAATGTTGAAGGGACCCATGATTCATGTTTGGATGGGAAAGGACAACAAAAAGTGTTTCTAAGGGAATTGTTGATGCCTGAGAGGGACCAACGTTATCCCAAAAGGGAAACCCAAAAAATACACATCACTAACTATTCATCAATTTTCTTCGTTTTTCAAACACCACCTAACTCTCATATTCCCACGTACCACCACCATGCACATAATTATCTTCTTAAATTACTATAAAAATTCGAATACGAAATCTGAGATAATTATGATTCGATAATGTGTAAAAAGAGAAGACTATTATTATCCACTACTTCACATGCATAAAAGGGGAGCAATAAATAATTGGCCCTATACTCTAGTTAAAGTAGAATAATTATGCAGTGGTAGAAAATAATGAGAAATCAAACTATTGTGTATGATAAAATCATGGATTTTCACGTGCCACTTAACTGTGCGTGATTATAATGAATGTGACTCCAAATTCATACTAATCTCATTAAAGAAATTCGTGGGTCAAATTGGAGTCACTTATTGTCTTCTACTTTCCCGTCTTCACAACCTTAACTAACATTATCAACATTATTTCATCAGATCTTTTAAACGTAATCATAAAACTTTTGAAACACGTGGCATATTAATACATTAGGTCTCATGATATTGTTGCTAAAAATAGTATTCTTAGAATATTTCAATTTGTCTTCATTCGGTCTATTTTTTATCTGTCTCAACTATCATTTTTTTAAGTCGGTTATTATTAGATATTAGTTTTTTTCCAATTAATTAACATGATTTCTGGATAAATATTATTAAATGAGAGATATTTCATTATTAATCGTTATTATATCGATTATTTAGATATTCATTACCAATAAATATATTGATCGTGTGATTGATATTAAATTTATAAATAAAAAATTATTGAAATTAATAAGTGTGATAAAATAATTTATAAAAATAAAAATATATAATAAAATACAATAATATTATAATATATAAAAAAATGTAATAATAAATCAATTATTATTAAATATTTTAACTTTTTAATAAAATCTAACATAAAAAATAAAGAAAAAAACTATCATAACCAGATAAAAACTTATGATAATATTTTATATTCCTCTGAAAACCCAATTAGAATGATGAAAAGGTATATAAACAAAGAAAAAAAAACGTAAACATGGTAAATAATAAAAAATTAGGAGAATATTGTGATTATGAGGAAATTATTGTAGAAGAATCAACGGAAACAGAGTGCGTGAGAGAAAGAAAGAAGGAAAACAGGCACCAATATTCGCGCTCTATTGATAGGCCGACAATAGGACAAAACATGTCATCCTTCTTCTCTATTCACATCACAAACCAACTTAACCTACTTTCAAATTTTGTACCTCAATCTCCTTCATACACATAGTTAATATTGTAATCTTATAAGAGTGATACCTAAACATTGCAATTTTATTTTATTCATTTTGTTTCTGACCTCGGCTTTTAAAGTAATGATGATAAACAAAAAAATCCATGAAAAAATTGGTGTGGAATCTGAGTTGCTCCTCCTCGTAAGCATATTAATATGATGTCCACGCCGTGTGTTCCCGAACTGTTCTACATTGTTTCATGTCGTGTAATATAAAAATTGTTCATCATCGGTGGTTGTTCATCTAACTACAGATTTTGTCCCACCATCTCATATTAAACCAACAATCCAAATTTAATCATGTGATTAGTCGATGATGCTACGTCACCGTTTTCAGCAACGAAGAATTTTTTTCTAAACTTGGTGGGTCAGAGTCAACCGGTTTTAATGGCTTTAACTACCTTCATAACATTGATTTTGGAGAAGATGTTAGTGAATTCTTTGTCGTATCTATTTTTAATACCACTTATTTGTTTACTACTATTAATATATTCCTGTAACAATGTTTTGGAACCCATTCACCTTGCTTTCATTTATGAATTTAGTCATCTAGTGATATTGATACGACAAAATTTAGATTCACTATCTTATGTAAACGTGCTTATACTGTTTTCAGATGAAACTCGTTATATTAGGAAATAAATTAAATAATATTTAAGTTATTTATTTATTTATCTATTAATATTAACATGAAAACATATCATATTATTTTAAATTTATTCAAGTCAATGATATATATATAGAGAGAGACTATCAATTAAACACAGTCTATAATAAAGTAACGGATAACGGATTTAAATATATAAAATTAGGGTGAGTAAATAAAAGAAAAACAAATTATGTTAAAATAAAATAAATTATGATTTACTTAAATAAATTTATAAATATTTTTCGTTTTATAAAATAAAAAATATTTTATATGAAATACCCTCTATCGTTATCATATATTAAAAAATATACCTTTATAATTAAGGTTAAATTTATATTATATAATAATATGAGAAAATTAAAATAATTAATGACTCTATTTAAATTAATAATAAAATAATATCTTATATAAAAATACGTTTCAGATTTGCATATTTTACCTGTGGAGGTCAAACTTATTTATTTATTTTGACGAATATTAGATGAGGTTTACTACAATTCAATTAAGTTTGTCTATTTTCATCCATAACTAATGTAGATATTTTTAACATATTATATTAAAAATACAAAGTTTAAATATAAATTAATGATAATTTAAATACAATATAATATTTAAGATAATTATGGATTTGAATCAAGTTTATAATTTTGTTTTGTTTTCATTTGAGTATCTTCTTCTACGATAT